AAGTCGTGGCGCACTATTATGGACTTCATCGGTAAGTTATCAGACTGACAGCTTTTCGTTTATACTTGTATTCATAGTGATGCTGTTAATAGAGAATATTCGGCCGTGGCTGGGAAGAAGATTCACTGGCCTGGTGGACGTGAAGGCCCACCGCCGGATGTGCCACGTTGTGGCTTTTTAGGCAACGCGCCGGAGTGTCATGGCAATGGTGAGTTTTTGGTTCGAGATCCATAACTACAGCTGTTAATTATTAATTAAGGAACAGCAAGAAATATATTTTTATTTCCCTAGAATTAATCATCATGTATGGGACATTTGCATTCGCAATCTTTTTCGGCTTTTCCTTTTTGGTGGTTTACCTGATGTGCAAGTGAGCTTTTCAAATGTTTAAGAATATTGAAATAAATACAAAAATTAACATTAAATTATATTTTAGACAAATGAAACTGAATAATGAACTCAACAATATGTCGTGGCGAGTGCGTCCGGATGAAGTACTTCTTGAGGTGGGAAGGCTTCATGGCAGTAAAGTTGGTCTGCAAAAGCTCAATGTGGAGGTATGTACAATAATTACTATATGTAATATATTATATATAACAACATATGACATATTTTATGATCTGTCGCAAATTTTATAATCTCTTTCACATTTTTTGCTTGCCTCCACCAGAACTTCTCGCTGCAACAATACGATATACATTCCGGCCGCGCTTCCATCGCCAGCTGCACCTCACTCCCACTGACGCAAGTTTTCACCACCATTGGTATTTTTAAAGGTGAGCGCGTTGCTATCAAGAAGATACACCGCAAAAAGGTCGACATTACACCAACGCTCTTGTGGGAGATCAAACAGGCGCGCGATGTTAGTCACGAGAATACCGTACGCTTTGTAGGCGCCTGCATAGATTTGCCACGCCCCACCGTGCTCATACTAACCGAATACTGTCCGAAAGGTAGCTTGAAGGATGTACTCGAAAACGAGGCAATACAATTGGATTGGAACTTTCGTATGTCACTCATACATGACATCGTTAAGGGCATGGCTTACTTACATAATAGTGATGTACAAGTGCATGGTAAATTACGCTCGTGTAACTGTCTCATTGACGGCCGCTTTGTATTGAAAATATCAGATTTCGGCTTGCGTTCGTTGACCACGCCGTCGGAGTTCGTGAAGGACCAGAACTATTTTAACAGTTAGTTTTGCCGGACTGTTTTTCAAAATGTATGGAGTCTAAAGTTTTTTATTTTTTTTATTTTAATCCACACAAGAATTCCTTTGGATCGCGCCGGAATTGCTACCGCTAACCGTTCTACCTGGTAATCCGGCCACACAAAAGGGCGATGTCTACTCCTTTGCAATAATATTGGAAGAAATCGTCGTGCGTGGTGGACCCTATGAAATGATACGGCAATTCATGGATGTGCAAAATATATTGAATCGCGTTGAGGCTCATGAATCACCACCATTTCGCCCCTTTGTGGGTCAGCTCGATTGTCCACCCGATGTGCTTGATCTAATGGAAAAGTGTTGGGCTGATAATCCAGAAGACAGACCGGCATTCGCTACAATCAGATCAACGGTGCGGCTAATCATGAAGTGAGTACTAGTATATCAAAATATTATTATGACCAGATATATATTCTCTTCCAAAACTAAAGAGGCTTTTGTGAGAATCTCATGGATGACTTGTTGCGTCGCATGGAACAGTATGCCAACAATTTGGAAAGTTTGGTGGAGGAGAAGACGGAACAGCTGAGCATGGAAAAACGTCGCACCGAAGAGTTACTGTATCAAGTACTACCGAGACCGGTGGCTACACAATTGCTTGCCGGTGAAATGGTACAACCCGAACAATTCGAATGTGTGACCATATATTTCAGTGACATCGTTGGTTTTACGGCACTTTGCGCCGAAAGCGGTCCCATGGAGGTGGTCGCCTTTCTCAACGATCTCTACAGTACATTTGATCGCATTATCGGTTTCTATGATGTGTACAAGGTAAACTTTTAATCCATAAATAATAAAATGTGTTTAAATTATCGGCCTGTTAAGGTCGAAACAATTGGCGATGCTTATATGGTGGTTTCGGGTCTACCTGAACGCAATGATGATCATGCTCGTGAAATTGGACTGATGTCACTCGCCATATTGGATGCTGTCAAATCGTTTACTATACGCCACAAACCGGATTATCAGCTGAAAATAAGAATCGGCATACACGCAGGTCCAGTTTGTGCAGGTGTTGTGGGTCAGAAGATGCCACATTATTGTCTGTTCGGCGATACTGTAAATACAGCCTCGCGTATGGAATCGGCGGGACTACGTAAGTTGTATACAGGTTTTAAATATAAAAGTGACGGGTTCTACATGAATTCTAACCACACAATATCTGTGGTTACTAGAAGTAACAGCTCAGTTCGATATTGAAGAACTTCAGAAAGCGATTAGACGCATCTCGGTTGTGTCTAAAGTCGACTTTAGCGGAACATGGATAAAACATAAATATACAGTGATGTAGCAAAATGTAAGGTATGCACGACTTGAGCCCACAATGCTAGTTCGTCTCGATGCCTCACTAATGTCCGCACTGCTGTAGGATAACTTCTACCATAACATATACAAGTTTAACTGAGATGGTTCTTCCTTAGAGCACTGAGCTTATTGTTCTCTTCATAAAATACAATTCTAATGTTCCTATACTACCCCTATTCTTATTTCTCATTTGCAGCACTGAAAATACATGTCTCTGCAGCGGCTAAAACAATTTTCGACAAATTTGGCACCTTCCAAATGGAATTACGCGGTGATGTGGAACTAAAAGGTAAGGGTACAGTGACAACTTATTGGCTTTTGGGTTGCACCGAACCGGATCCACGACCACCAACACCACAAAAGAACAATAACGGTGAGGTACCATTCCCGATACTCTTTCCAGCTATTGGGAAATAGCTCTCAGCTGCCGAAGAGCATGAATGTGCGACCTCCGAATTTTGAAATACGCTCAATAGTTCCCAGTTCAAAGTATGGGGTTATATACCCCACTTATATAAGCAAAATTAAGCACTTAATTGTTCGAATATCCTTATGTTGGAGAGTTGATACTTCTGTAGCTCTACTCCAATGATATATTTATTCATTTCAGTACAAGTCTCTGTGTACCTAAAATTTTGTATTATTGTGTAGTGAAATCATACATATACAATATTTCATGTTTCTACTGTTGACTGTTAAATGTACTGTAGTATTTGACTGTAAGCTTTTCAGCATTGAGCTTATCTGGACTGTGCTTTGAAGCTATAAAGAATAATAGTTGGTTAATTGGAACGCTGATTTTATTATTTATGAGCGATTATAAGTGAAATATGAAGGGTTAAAGTAAACAAATTGTGCTGTATTGTAAAATTATATAAAATTATTTAAGATATCTTTAACCAGCGAGAAAAAGCAAAAAATAAATAATATTGTTTATCCAACAATACAATAGATCGCTCAATTAGAAAGGTATATTTATAAATTGTCTTGATGCAAGATAGTGTGGAATTAAGCTAGTCAATACAAACATATATGTGAATGTATTTATGTAATGTCAATGTGCTGTGAAAAATATACAAATTTTAGATATACATATGTACGATGATGTCAATGTTGTTACAAAAATAAATAAATAAAGTATAAAACTGATAGTACAAATTGATCGTAGAACATATTTATAATAATTTAACGCTGTGTGAGTGAGCTTTTAAGCAACATGATGCTCTTAGTTTCGCATTTAGAAAAATAATAGCTCTAAGCCAACACCCCACTTTTTCAATCTTCATTATCCGTTCGTTTTTTTTTATCTTTTTCTCTTTGTCAATCTCGATTTGTTTGGTAAGTTTATTATATGTATAAAATACGGTTCAGCTTTTCTTTAAGTTTAAAGTAGTATTTTACTTTATTCGATCTGTAATCATCTGACCTATTTGGTCCCATCATTTATTAATTGGTCCCATCAATATTAAAATAGCTGTACGTGATGGAAAATTTTTGAACTCAAATTCATAATCAGGACACCTCAAATACTCCCACAGACCTCTTAGCACATCATACGCCAATTTTTCCTACAGATTTATTGAGTAGTGTTATTTATAGGTTTTCGACGTCTTTTATGAATAATCTGATTTTGGACTATGAAGAAAGTCAAGCGACCAAATCCTACTTAAATAAGTGGTGTTTTATCAAAACTAGCTCTGAGCACCCATTGAAAAAAGCATCAACCTACGAGAAGAAACTAATAACCCATTCACATACAGACTGACAATACATACCCATACAAAGCAAAGAAAGCAAAGGGTATGTCAGAATGAACGCTTTGTCTGTGCTTCTCGTTAATAAATATGGTGACTATTGCTTAGCAAAGATGATGATAAAAAGATGAGAGTTGACAAACAATTTGCTTCGCTTTGATGCGTTTCGATTCGGTATGAACATAATCATACAAAAGCATACATTGAACTTTTCTCTCAAAGCAAATGTCGGAAGCGGTTATACTGTAATTTTAAGAGCTTTTGGAATCCTTAACACCTACCCTGCAGGAAAAAGCGAGATTTTTGCGCTACAATGTTGAGAAACTTCTGACTTTTGTGGAGTTATAAACTAAGGGTTACAGTTACTTGATTTCTAAAACAGGTCAAGAGGAAAAACAAAATAAAACGTGTTTAAAAGTTCTTAAGGAATCACTTCCTTTAATTAACCGGCTGCTTTTAACCTTATATACGAACTATGAAATAGGGGTACGTTTTGGCAAAGCATGTCTACACACAGACTTTACAATAGGCACATATTCACGCAATTTGAAAAAACCACCACTATTACATTATGCTTTCGGAAACTAAGCTTTAAGCTTACGTCATTGGGCTTAAAATACCGGTTGTCTTTCGTCCTTTCGCTTACACAGTATTTTTCATGCGTGCCTTCTTTGTTACGTCCTTTGTTTATAACAATAAATAAAACATTTATTCACACATTGCTATACCGCGCAGCTGTCATCCCGTTATCCTTGCTTCAAGTGAGCTTCCTGTCAAATGAAACACAGAAAGTATGTAGTGCGTGTAAGTTTTGAGTGTGTGAATTTTACCAGCGTGAAATTAGTAAATATTAAATGTATAAAATCATTATAAAGAAGTTTATAGAAAAAATGTGGCATAGCCGCAACGGAATGTGTTAATATACAACTATGTATATATATAAAAATATAGTTTAGCTTTAGAGCTAGAAAATATACCTGCTAATTGAAAGTCCGCAGAAACCCAAAGTGCTTGTAGTGTAGTAGATAGTGAATGTTTTATTTCATAAATACCTAAACATACCAAGTAGTGGAATTCGTAGTGAAATCATGTGCATTGCGACCTCCATATGCTCCGCGGGCTGGCCCAGTCACCTCAATTGCAAATAAAAAAGAAAATAATATCAAAATTTGACCTCGCTTTGAAGTGGGTGTGTGGCATCAAGAAATATTTTTCGCCAATTTGACGCACGCACACATATACAAATATACATACGTACACTTAACTCGCAAATACCCACCGTTTGCAATATGAAAGTGATGCGCATACGCCACGCTAAACTAATCGTAGCAGTAGTGGTCATAGCCAACCTCATACTATTTTATTACTCTTGGAAGTCGACTATTTGGAAGACTCTCACGTCCACACTCATGCCCAGCGATGCAGCAGAACGCGCAGCGTCAGCTGATAATGAGCTCGGCGGCGGTGTCGGTGTCGGCGCCGCAGGACGTGGCGTAGGCAAATCGTCGCGCGATAAGCTCAAGAGTGCCAACAAACATATACGCAAATCCATAACGGTTGTATTTCGTAGTTTTTATAATTTCGAAAATGATCTCAAAGCATCCATTGACAATCTACTCGATATTGTGCCGAATTTGTCGGTGTTAGTACTGTTGGAGGGTACGCCCTATCCACCGGTCTCATATGAGCGCAACATCACCGCTACGAGCGGGGAGGAGAACACTGTGCGATTCATCAATCTTGGCTTCGATGTGCAAAAGACACCCGAGCAATTAAATGCGCTCGCAGCAATACACACGAAGTATGTGCTATTCCTGCCAGATAGCGTGCGTTTGACAAGTAAAAATCTCTTGCAAAAGATTTTGCGCGAAATCAATTCAGCCATGCCATTGGGCGCTGGCATAGCGGCAAGAGCGCCGCTCAAAGCGGGCGAGGCTAAGCATCAGCAAGAGGCGCGCGCCTTGTTGCCGCCTGTGGGTCCCGAGGAGACGGTCAGACGTTTGGTGATAGTGCCATTCGCTGGCAATATGAAGTCGTTTAGCAGCTGTACACAAATCAACTTGGATCTGCCCAATTGGACGATACAATATGTTGCGGTCAATAGCAGCGACAAGTGTGACTTGGTGAGTGGCAAGCAGAAAACTCTTGATTTGTCTATATATGTTTATATTCTTTAATTTTTTGGTACACAGTATTTACAAAAACATGCCATACTCGTGGATGTGGGCGTACTCAAGGAGCTGCCGGACCCATTCGTGTCGCCATTCCCCGAAATGTTTTACATACAGGCGAAGTTGGCTGGAATTTCTGTAAGCGCAACCATTTAAATTTAATTTTAGTTATTTCCATACTTTCAACTTCAACCAACTCGACTTTTTACAGAAAACTGTTTTCCCACAAACCTTCCAAGACGGACGTCGACTCTTTGCTTCGTATCATACGAAACAACGCCGCACCGAAATACGCCGACGCCAATTTAAGGAATTATATAAGAAGCTGCAGATCAAACGTATTATACGGCGTTCACATAAAGTCATCTCGAAAACCGATGCAAAGGAGAGCGGTGGTGGTGGCTCGCATCACAATCTCGTACTCGATACACAATTCTCCTCATCGAACTTCAGTTTGCCGCTGGTAACGGAAATTGATTTAATCGGTTGTGAACGCACCACTAAATCTTGTGTCGGCAGTGTCTACAACAATCGGCCCTTCTATATTTACTTGGAAAAACACACGCCCCCATGTTGCCTTGACAAACTCAAAACGACATTCAATCATGTACTCGAGGAGTTCGAGAATGTCGGCATACGTTATTGGTTGGACAATCAAGCCTTGCGAACAGCCATCGATACGAATCACCTGCATCCGGATGCCTATGAAATAGATATCAGTTTCAATGTTAATGATCTGGAGCGTTCGAATGCCATGAAAAAGTCACAAAATAAACCATATGTAGATAATGAGGGCTTCTACTGGATCAAGGCGACGGATGGGCATTATTTTAAAGTGCAATTTTCGAAAATCAATCAAATTGGTGTAAATTTGTTACCATTTGAAATAAACGGTAATGAGGTGAGACCAAGTGGATTTTTCGGTTGGAAAGCCAAAGAATTCTCCGCAGACTATCTGCATCCAATGTCGACGGTACTTTTTTTGGGCAAAAGTGTAATGTGTCCGAATAATGTACGAGAATTCTTAGACTTTAAGAATGTGTAATGGAGTGATTGGTGGAAGGAGGTTGAAGAAACACCTCAATGAAACACAAAATAGGCAGATGGTATTATAAGCGATGATTTATTGAAAAGCTCTCGAGATCTTACAAAAAAAGCACAATGTGAATCAACAGAGTGTAGTAAAAATCACCAAAAATATCATCATCACATCAGCGGCTATTTGAGAGGTGTGGCTTATAAAAAACCGGCACTTGAAACCATCTAATTTCAAATTCATTTCGATTAAGTTGTCATCAACATATATTGCCTGATTTCATATTTTTTGCAGAGATTATAAACAACGTTTTTCTATCAGTTCCCTTATAACTCCTGTGCATCACTCTTGACTTTATGTTTCGGCTTCGAAATAGTGGCTAGTTGCGATATTAGCAATAAAAAGTATAACGCTTTGGATTAGTTATATGCAGAAAGCTAGAAAAATGTTGTAATTTTATCACCGATTAATGACGTTGGGTTAATATGTACTTCGGTTGCAGCTGTTCATCAGTCTCGTTGTTTAAAAACCACACCTCGTATCAACGATGTGAAAAAATATAAACAATTAACAAAGACCGATAAATTATATGAATTATGGTGAAATAGAGCTAAAATGTTTTACATATAAATTATAAGTGTGACTTTACTTAAAAGGAATAAATTAAACGCAATGATCTCCAAAGGGAAAGCATTATAAAATGAAAAATATTGAGGTTAGGTATGCACCAAATTTAGAAGTTTTTAATGGAGATGTATATAGTAAATACATACATACCTACAAATATATATGTAAAAAATTCGATACACATTTATATACACATACATACTTTTAATGCTTAGCCAAATTAGTTAAATTAAGCGAGTATAGTAGAGACATCTGCGAAAAACAGTTACATTACAGATTTCACAATATATACATAAGTAATGCGTGCTATCATTATTTAATATTTATGCTTTAAACCAAAGAAGCTTTACCATCAGCCGATGGAGCACTTTAAAAAAAAAAAGTAAGTTTTTAATTCAAATATTTGAAAAACTAAAGAAAAGGAAATCGTATCAAATCATAAAATAAAATACTAAATGCCTAATACAAGATTAAAGATAAATATTTCTAATTAACTTAATTACAGTCTGTCTAAAACGCCCATAAAATATATTTTATAAATATACAAAATAATAAAGAACCAAACAATGAATATTTCAGACTAAATAATGGAAATAATTATGAAGCTTCAGTAATTTTTAAATATTTATCTGGGCATTGGAATTATAAGAAATAGTTTGTGAAAAGAAATAACAACTACGTTTATTTTAAATAGTAATACAACTAAACATTATTTAATATTCAGTTATGACTTTCAGAAAACGAAGCAAACTGGAATTTAATGCGTATTTTAGTATCTAGCAGTAACCCTTCTATCAAATATAAAAAAAAATTATCTTTAATTAGAAACGACTTTACGAAAGGCGATGTTTATGAAAGCCAACTGTATTTTCAACTAAATTTCGTCGACATGTTAGCTGTTTGTGCTTCTTAGTGTAAACACATAAATTTCTATATTTTTTCTCATATTTCGATAGGTTATACCTTTCAAAGTAATATACTAAAATTTTAAGTCGATATTACAAGTTGTTTTGTAGTTACAGGCTTCTAAAGTGTAGTCGCTCCGTTCAATCAGCTCCATCAGTTTATCTTTAAATGTATTTTTGCTAAAACTTCTTTTTTCACAATTGCTTGTGTGATTACTCGGAGACAAATGATCCACCAATGTTTTGAACAAAAATCGAATTTCGACACAATTCAACTTTTAGCGTAGACATTTTGTTCATTTTTAATTTCAACTGATTTTTGAGATTTTTTGTTTTGAGTTTCATCCACGGAGAAGGCCATAATCAATGCAGCAGCACAGATACTTTTTCAGCGCCGTCGGAGATCGCGCGTAACAAAAAAAATATTTAACTTTTTTCTTTAAAAGTTTTACAGTATATTCTTAAAATATATTTGAATAAACTCTTTTAAAACAATTGATGCATAGTTTTTGTTTTAGAAATTCTCTAAAATCGAGTTTTTAGGCTGTCACAATAGGTATCCCCCCTAAACATTCTAATTAAAACATTAGACCGCTACCCACAAGACCAACACTTTAAACACAGTTAGTAGTTACTGTGGTACTTAACATTAAACATTAAACACCACTTTCAAAAATGGAGTTTACCATTCATCTTCGTGTAACTCACCTAACCAGCATTACTTTGGTGTTTTTGGAAGTATAACTCTGATTTCAGTACTCAATTTGAGAGTTCACGATATAAAATGTTAAAGAAAATTCTATGTTTTTTGAGCTGGAACTCGAGTTTGTGGCGCAGCGCAAGAATTTTGTAATAAGAATACGGAAACTCAACCTAATTATTTTAACACAGAAAATGTAATTGTTAATAGTACTCTATTGTATATTTTACCATACTAATACATCTGCATATATCATATATATATATATATATATATAATACATAGGTATACAAAAACATAACTACATAATTACACTAAACACTCATAGCATTCATATGTGATAACTGTACCGCATGTAAACTCGTACACCGCGCTACGGCTTCAAGTATTTTGTTTTGCTATTACTATTTATAAGCATACAATACATATGTACATGTGTATATGCGTACCCACTATTTATTGATATATGAAATTGTTGGTTTTCTGACATTAATAAGTTAAAACTAAGGAAATTTTTACTGTATAAATATTTTGATGTAAAAAGCATTGCTTTGAAAGTAATTTTGAAACGTACATAGTTCCATGAATACACTCATACATGCACACTAGAGTATTCGTTATTTCTTAAGTTGATTTGTTTCTTGCAAACGCTCCATAAAGTTTCTGTTTTCGCCCTAAAAAAAGGATCCAACTTAAAGAAGCTCTTTAATTTTAATTTAAACCGGTCTTAAAATATATTAGTTTTCCCATATATTTAACATAGGAGTTTTTGACCTTAAAACCAATAAATTCTAATAAAAAATTTTCCGCTCTACAAAAATGGTGCCAACAATTTTTTTTATCAAACTTATACGCAGTTAAAGTAATACATCAAATGTACTGAGCATTCATACGCTACCATGTCGTATGAGCACCACAGGCGCATGTATGAGTGCTGAATACAACTAATGAATAACTTTATCAGTGTATAACTTTCAAAGGAATGTTTTTATGGAAAAAAACTATTAGACCTATTTTGTAGAGGACTAAATTTTGTATTAGAATATCACTTTATCTAGATTTTAGATTCTTTGTTTTTAGGGTAAAAATTGAAACTTTAGAAATCGTTTGCATAAAAAATCAACTTGGAAAATAGCGAACACCCTAATGCACACATACACACAGTATATTTTGAAGCGCTCAATATAAAGACAACATAATTATATAAAATAACACAAATGGGATAGATAAAATGTTGTTCGCTAATGTAATGGTCATATAGGTATATAGATATACAAACATACCTACACATATGTATATTGTTTATATATACATATATGTATATATACATATAAACAGATAAAATAGCTCAATAAAAAATAAATTAATTTATGCAAATATAAACATTTTCGGTGTAAAACTGTAACGCTCACCTCTAAAATACTTTAAAATTTACACGAACACAGACTATTTCATTACAAATAAAATATTTGATTACTAAAATAACGGCATTTCTCATTTATTTTCGTCGCAGATTATAATAAATGTTTTTATATAAAGTTATTTACAAATGTTTTAGGGAAACAAAGCACCGTCCGGCAACAAATTTAAAAAGCAATATTTTTTATAGATTACAAAAATAAATTCTAGTTATATAAGAAGCCTCAATACCGTTGCGGCGACTTCTAGCTCTTTGTCGTGGTAGGTGCATCGGGCACTATCATATCGTTTGGCAATTCACGCACCAGCGAGAGCAGTTTGTCCAACTTTTGCACCTGTAGCGTATTTTGATCGAGATACTGTTGCTTCTTGGGCGGTTTCACCATCAACCGCAAATTAGGCGATAGCTTTAACGAAGTCACTGTGCTCCTAAAAAAATCAACAAACGAAAACAAAGATAAAACAAACTTATTACACACAAGGGGAGTAACTTTTCGTCACACTCACTTATCGTCACCGACAATTAGGAAGGGCAGATTCTCATTGAATACTAAACGCGTTAGTTTGTTCTTGCGTTTTGGTACGACCGCTTGCACACAAATCGGCTTATACTTATTCACATTCAAATCGAAAACGAACACCTTGCCCTCGTTGGTGCAGGCGGCAAAGACTGTGCTCGAGAAGGGCGCCCATTTGACATCGCCCACAGAGGAGCCGAGATCGAAAATGAACAGCGGTTCCGGACGCATATCCTCCCACACTTTGACGCGCCAATCGCCACTGCACGAAATGAATATATTTGAATTGTAGCGATTGAAATCGATGCGATAGACTGTGAGATGATGTGCATTGTAGGTCATTAAATATTTCGAACTATACGCTATGCTGCATTTGTAGATTAGACCCTCTTCGGTGCCGACTAGATAAATTTCCGGATTGGTCGGATGGAATTTCATGCAAGAACCACAACTGCGTAACTGAACTTCGGTGCCGTCGGGTCCCTCAACAATGCCGTTCGTAAGAAAGAGTGTTGTTATTGTAGTGATCATGAAGTCATTCTGCATGAGAACCCAGTTGAAGACGCGACCATCGGTCGAGACGGAGTAAAAATTTATCTCACCGTCCGCCATATCGGGACCCCATTTAATCTATGAGTAAAAAGGGTGAAACTGCTTAAGTCGCATATTGATTATAATAATTTGCTAATTAATTACTTTACATTAACTTTATAATTTTAGATATATTGTATCACGTTTAAAAATGAAGACATATGGGAGAAGTTCTTCTTTTCGTAGTCGAAATGAACGTGCTCTGGTTTTGAGAACGAATTCGATGAAAATTGGAGGTTAATCTTCTCAGTTCAATTTATCAGAATACTATTTCATCAAAATTGACTCGGGCTGGTCCATTTAAATTGTTTTTGTTTTTCCGAGAATGGCTCCAATTTTTTTATGTTCAACTGAAGTTTGTTTACGACGCGGAAGAATTTTACGGTGATATTTTATATTATGTTTCCAGTAAAATAGCAGAGGATCTCAACATCTTTTACGGATTGACTCAACACATTTTGGTTAATATTTAAGGTATGAAGCATGTCAATGTTAGACTCGTAGCAAAAGACCTGAGTCTTTTGCAAAAACGACGTCAAGTAGAAGTCGCAAGAGAGATGCTTGACAATGTAGCTGAGAACCCTCTATTCATCAGACGTTTCATTACTGGCTTATGAATTATAAACTGAAGAATGGCGCTCTGAAAATGAGCCGAAACGAAAAAAAAACTCCAATGTCGTGTAAAAATCATGGTGATATCATCGTTTTCTTTGATTACCGTGGTGTGGTTTACCATGAATTCTTTTCACAGGGTCAAACGGTCAATAAGAAATTCTTCTTATGCGTTTTGACGCCTCTACGTTAAGTAAACGATCTGAATTGTTTGCAGAAAATGCATAGATTCTTCACCGTCATAATGCGCCGTCCCATTCTAGCATGATTGTGACTGACATTTTGGATAAACACGTAACGAGAGTTATCGCTCAGTCACCTATTTGCCAGATTTGGCTTCCGGTGACTTTTAAAAGTTTTCGGAACTAAATTAAACGAATGGTATTAAAATAGGTAAACATGTTTTTTTTTATATTAGCCCAATCAGTATCAGTCAAATTTGATCAGAGGGTATAATATATATATAAATTTTCTAGTTGTGCTCAGTTATCGTTAAAAAATATAGACACACACTTTGAAACCTGGACAATGTTAAAATTCAATACTTTTCCAATAGATCATCTATATCGTTTTAAAATCGTTTTAATGGGTGTGTAGCTTCGATAAAATGAGTTTCTTTTAATTGCGCCTAACTTTATACTACTTTTAAAATTTAATGAATAAAACATATATCTACATACCTCCCACGCACATTCCGAATGTTTATTGTGTACACCCACCGACAAATAAAGCGGCTTCTCATAGTTCTCTCTTAAGTTATAAACTGCCACACTGCCGTCGTACATGCCTACAAAATACGCAAGGTCACATAATTAGCTGTAAAACATTCGTGGCATAAAGCGAACCTATTGCGACCAAAAAGGGATAAGTCGGATGGATATCGCAACACATGACGCCGCTCTCCGTCGATACTGCGAAGTAAATATACAAAAAGGAACATACCCATAACTTTACATATCGATAAGCAAAAGTTACTTATTTACTTATATAGTCTGGATAGGAGGGGTTCTTCACGGTGAAAAAGCAAATCGCGCCCTCATTCGGTTGCTTCATGAACTCATCTATGGGTTAGCGTTACATAACAAAGCTTTTACTATAATTTTTATAACGAAACTTACGCGAACCATAGCATACAGCAAACAAATCGTAATACATCGGATTGAATTGCAAATCTGTGACACTTAATTTTCGTATGCGATCATAATTGAATTTCCAAAGCGGTAGCAAAGTGCCCTCTTGCTCTCTGTATTCGTCAGCCGGATCTTCCCAGTAGCGATAGTCGTTGGCAATCTCCTCATATATATTTTGATTTATCATGCGTTCCAATATCTGCCACGCCTTGAGATACTTCTTATTTAGTAGCTCGGCTTCGGCTGCCTTATCCAATTTTTTCGCTCCGACATCTTTTCGCGGTCCGCCCCGCTTATCGTCCTTCTTCTCCCTCTCCTTTTGCTGCTGTTCGAAGTCCTCTGCATAGCTATCGTAAATCTTCCATTGCAAGACATTGGCGCCATATTGAGAACGAGGTGGAGGTATGGTTTGTGTTTCAACACTCTACATTTGTATGGCAAAAGTGCTTAATATAGTAAATAAGTTTATACTTGAGTCGTAAAATGGCTTACTCTTCTTGGATTGGTATACGTTAGAGCGGAACGTTCACAGAAATTAAATTGATTTAACAATTTGCGCTTTCGTCCACCCGTGGCCGGTGCTGCGGTTGGCGCTCCTAAACATAATTACAAATACAAGTATGTAGGTAATATAATTAACCATATGACGGTTTATTCAACTTCTCTAAGTGATATATTAATTTATATATTATCACACCTGTAGCTTCTCCGCCTTCCTCAGCTGCTACAGCTTCAGCATCTGCAGCACCTTCCTCAACTGCCTCTTCCTCTTCGCCCTCTAGCTCTTCCTCAGCCATTTCTTCATCCGCTTCTTTAGCTTGCTTTGCTACCTTCTCTTCACCCTCTTCTTCCTCTTCCTCCACCTTTGGTACACGAGGTTTTCTATCTTCAACTTCGGCCTCTATGAAGGAGCCAGTGATTGTGGGTAGTGGGTATCCTAAGGTTCAAATTAAGTACAATTTTTACTTAGGTACTACGGTAACTATAATATATAGAAGATATCAACCGATTTCGCCCATCTCCTCCATTTGTATTTTCGCTTCATCCGAATCTATATGCAAGGCACTGCCCTCCATTTGCATAAGTGTTACAGTGTTTCCAGCAATCGGCACCTGAAATTTGTTACTACATTTGTATTTAGTTGTAACGAGTATATGTAATATTTTATACAACAGCACCTAATCTATAACATAGAACTTTTTGAAAACCATCTACATATATCAGTTCGAACGTTCGATATAAAGGAACCCAAACAAGATCCAATACTATCGTGGTTATTCGTATTGAAAATTATAGACTATTCGTCTTAATCTCTTAGCACCTCTGAATATTATATGATTCAAAACCGTTCTTTTGATTTTATTAGATCATACTCAACTAAACTAGCTAAAACTTTTAAGATAATAACACAATTTAAATGATGAAAATGAGTTTTACGGAACCTTCCACATTACTTTCTTTGTGAATGCAATCGAAATCGAGAAGGTGATTAAGAGAAGTTTGTGTTTATGATCTTTAAAATAAAATGAGCCAGAATAACATATGAATAGTTATGGAATAAAACTCAGCAAATAAAAATCATTAGAATAACTCAAAACCTTGAAAATGTTCTGAGAGGACAACCTTAGTTTGAAAGTTTAGTTTTTAGGAGTCTAAAAGGTATAATTTCCTAGGGTTTGAAAGAAATATATGGACATATTTTGTCGTTTGGAAGACATTCAAAATTTCGAAAGGCACAGAGCACGTAAATACGAATCTTTATTTTTATCAAGAGCTGATTTTAATAGGAATTTCATGAGGTAAATTTTGTTGGAAAATATGAAAAGTAATGAGATTAGATTATTATATAACAATCCCTGCTTACTTAAAGCTATATTTTTCTGAAAGACATTTTTACAAATTTTTAAGAAGACTTAAAGCTTGTAGGAGCTCCATTTGTTGGACGACTTCTAAACCTACAAGTATAAAACCAGAGCTGGCAAAAGCGTATGCCCAGCTTAACAATTAACTAAATGAACTAAGCGTTTAGAAATTTGGTAAAATTTACAATAAAGCATATTTAAATAAATTCTAAATTTTTATACAATAAGAAATAAAACACCCACCTGAACGAAGGCGCTATCCTTGAAGCTGTACACAACCAAATTGTGTATGACATTTGTATTTGTTGTGGTCAACACCCTAGTTACCTCCTCGGCCAACTCAGCTTCAGTTAATTCCAATTGATCATCGGGCTTGAGTAATTGACGCGACTTAATCCAAGCATCAAAATCATCTGCATCACCGCCGCCATCTTTGATGTTCGATTTTGAAACTGATTTGATCTGTTAGAAAAGCGATTTCAATAACTGTATGTAAAACATAACAATCTTGCATATAGTAATAAAACGAAATATGAGCCATCGTTAAAACGATTTCTTTATATAAGATAAAAAATTTATAAAATATAATAAATTCATGAGGTGTTATTATATAATCAACTGCACTTTTGTAATTAGTTGTGCGAGAGTGTTTAATTATTGCTACACTAAATAAATATAAACAGCTAGTAGTTAAAATAACTAATTTACATACTTACAATTTCATACTTATTTGAATAAAGTTAAAGAGACTCACTGATAGTAAAATGTGTTCATTAATCAATATAAATATATTATATGTAGAAATCATGCAAGCCTTCATGCTATGGCTATATGTAGTTATTTACACTTTTGCCGCTTTATGGAAGTCAGTTACCTGCAGCCCATGTGGCCTCGTTGGCGTACCCTCTTCACTAATCAGCTCATCCATTTGACCATCAGTAGTGTGGTCAGTAGTGGTCATAATAGATGCCGTTATTTAATGTATCACAACAATTTATAAAACTATGTTTGAGTTCAAGTTTCAATAGTGGTTTATATGTTTAGTACAGTTTGAGAATTTATAAATTTAAAAATAATTTATTTTCATGGAAATTCATTCCTTTAAATTGTCTATTTAATTTTTTTTATTTTTATTTATATTATTTAAAAAATGGTTGTTTTCAAAATTTATTATTGTTTATTAAATTATTTAAATATTATTATGGTTATGATATTAAGTTTTTATTTTTTTTAATTTATATTTTTTTTATTTGTTACATTAATTTTATTAAATAATTTTAATTATGTATTATTATTTATTTTATTTCATTCAATATTTCATGCGCTGAACACAACGATGATAAATATATTTCAAAACACGAAATAGTTTAATAAAAATAAATACATTTAACGAATATAATGTGAATGAGGTAGAGCTATTTTGTAGGTACTTTCTAAGTCCGCCAATCATAATTGAATAATACATAAGCAAAACAAGCCAATCACATATTTACAATAAAATTTTGTTAGTATTTTATTTTCATATATTTAAAATACAAACAAATTTGTCGTGTATAATACAATTATATACATTGCTGGAGATATTACTTAAACTAATATGCTAATAAATACTAATTTTGTCTAACTACCGCTTTATTTGCGATTTTCCACATCTTGCCAATTAAACGACTGATTTACAACTAAAGCTGCCAAGAAACACTTGAAGGTAATTGCTAGGACTACCTAGGGCCCAACTACCACACACACTGCGTGTTTACACAACCACATGTTAACGGTGAAACAAATTTGTTTTCTACATTGGAACTGTCGTGACGCTGTCGTGACTGACGCTTCGTCACCTGCAACAGATATTCGCACAGAGTTCTGCGACTGCTATCACTGTCGAATGACGAAAAAGTAACTGCAAATTGGCAGATTGACGTAGTTGTAGAATCGTAATCAACGAAAACCGTGAATGAAAACTCTTAAAAGTCTAACTTAAGTTTTTCGGAATGGTTTTTATTTTTCTGTGCTAAAATTATCTGTAAACTCGTATTTTTGCACGCGCAGACAAACAATACCCAGCAAGGTTAAATATATTTTAAACACCATCAGAGTTTACCTGGTGTATTTAGCTACATAAAATCGCAAATTAATTAATGTAAATAATTTTAAGCAAGAAAATTACTGTCACTAATTGTTCCGCATTAATCATTAACGCATTTTGAACTTTGAATGTTAAGCAATAATCTCGCCAAGAAGCGATTCTACAGAACAAAATAATTTGTATTATTAGCAAGTAAAAAATGGGAATTTGTATCAGTTCGGTCATAATTTTGTCATCATTGCAATACATTTTTTATACTCTCGCAACCTGTTGCTACAGTGTGTAATAGTTTTGTTCACCTAACGGTTGTTTGTATCACCTAAAACTAATCGAGTTAGATATAAGGTTATATATATATAAATGATCAGGATGAAGAGACGAGTTGAAATCCGGGTGACTGTCTGTCCGTCCGTCCGTCCGTGCAAGCTCTAACTTGAGTAAAAATTAAGATATCTTTATGAAACTTGGTAGACATGTAGACCACTGCCACGCCCACAACTCGCCATTAACCAAAAACAAATAAATTGCTATAACTAAGCTCCGCAATAAGATACAAGACTGTTATTTGGTACAAAGGATCACATGAGGGAGGGGCATCTGCAGTTAAAAGTTTTTTTAAAAAGTGGTCGTGGTCCCGCCCCTAATAAGTTTAATGTGCATATCTCCTAACTCGCTAAAGCTATAATAACCAAATTCACTGGGAGCAAATGTTTTTAGAACCTCTCTTGACGGTGTGAAAATGGGTGAAATCGGGTAACAAGCCGCCACACTCCCCATATAACGGTACTGTTAAAAAATACTATAAGCGCGATAAACCAAGCACTAAACATGCCAGAGACATTAAATTTTATCTTTGGAATGGTATGAGATGACTTTATAGGAACCGCGTTTAAAATTAGTCGGTGGGCGTGGCACCATCATAACGTCAAATTAATGGCTGTCAAACAATTAAACACTTTGTGGCAACTCTTTTTGCGTACATTCTAGAAATCGAGCGTAAAAATCTCTGTGGCATCGCAACACTTTTTGATGTTTGTATAATTTTTCCCGAAATAGCATTACTGCCAACTTATTGTTACACAATTTAATATAATGAAACCCCTGCGCTATTCTGTAATACTATTTCCCTCATGAAATTAATTTTCCTTAGACTTATCAACTTAAAAAAATTTTTTGTGATCAATATTGGAGTTTTAAAAAAAGTCTTAAACGACTTAAGCGTTAAAATAAATTTTGAGTCAAAATCCGTCAAACTCGGTAATTTTTATATAAATGTGAAAAGTTTAAACCAAAAAAAATTTTAGCTCGAAATTTACTTTAAAAGCGAGGGCCGCCTCTAATTGTTAAAAAAAATTAGTTTTTTCTGAAAAATTTTTAGCCTCAGGCTAAGCAGAAAAACATTTCTTTTTCGCTCCACCCTAATATGTATGAAAATTTTCTAAACATAGTTTCTTATTATTATAATTATAATAAATTTTTTTTCGAAAATAAGATTTAGCCTGATTTGCGCAATATCAAACTTGCGTATATAATTGTCATATGTAAGAATTGTCGTATGTATCTAATAAGGGCCAATTACAAACTACTATTTAGCGTATCTGACTAACCGCTGGGTAATGGATGTGTATTATGAGTGAGAGTTATGCATACATACATATATAGTTGCTACTTAAACTTATAAGTGTTAGTATGAGTAGATTAGAGGCAATGCATTGAAAATTAAGTACTGTGTTGGCATGGGAAATTCGCAAATAAGTTGATATAATTACCTTTACGAGCAGAAGTCAGTATATTGTCAGAGGTCACGGTTTGCAGACATGCCAATTTCGTTATTTAAAAATAACTGCAAGATGTACTTACACATAGAAAGCTAGGAACAGTTAATGTATTACTCTAACTGTGAACTTAAATTCGCGTCATCGCTCTTGAAAATTATATTGGTGAAAGTCACAAGAGAAAAATAAACGCGGTACTCTTACATTGGTTTTTGAAAATAATAAAATTCCATAATAAAAAATTACATTTCAAAATTTTTCAAAAATATGTGCGAGATATACATCTAATAACACTCACTTAATATTACATATTTCCGTTCAAAAGTACAATTTATGAAATAAAAAATAAATAATCGAAAGTCTCATATGTCTAACTAACGTGTTTCCGGAAAATTTGATGAAAATTGTATCTATGGATTTAAGTATTCTAAACTTGAAAATATTTATTTGGATGTTTATTCCGATTAGGGGTGTCAACAGCGAATAAAAATAAGACAACTCTTAGCTGTATGCATACAATAATTTTATTCTATCTATTTACTTTCTTGGGTTAGCATTTCCACCGACACTACAATAGAAAATCATTGAAATTTGCGAATTCGTAGATGCATTTTAATGCAGTCTAGTGCTTTGCGTGATAAAAGCTAATAAAATGAACAAGGAGCAGTTTTTTAGTGCATTCTGACTGAAAGTTTCTAAAATTAATAATTCTTTTTTGGTAGATTCACGAGCATGCATGTCACAGAGTAATTATTGATATTTTCAAACAAAGTCTACAACCCATAGAATATCAATTTCATATCGAAATGTAGCATGGCGTTTTACTATTCGTGATAGACAACTCTCTTCGAAAAGGCGGCAACTTGTCGGCAACTCCAACCTTCCGGTGAGCTTTAAACTTAAGGATATTGTATTTTTGTACTGAAAATTTCTGAAGTCACCAAATACTGAACATAATGATTTAAGGCTCACCGGTAGACCTTATGCCACATATTCAGTTAGCAGTAGAACCGTGAGTCAGTTTAGGCCGAGATCAAAAAACTTTGCCACTTGCCTCTACCCTTTGCGAGGTACTTCCATTGAATGCATTGCTGCGCTTGCTTTAAATGTCCACCCATGGGTCTCGAATCGAAGAAGCCTTTTGCTGGAGCATCGTCTTAAATGCTGATCTGATTTACATTAAATTGGAAGTTTAAGGTAGCAGATAAGATATCTTAATGTTATTAGGTCTATCTACTTTTTTGGGTGAAATAGTTTCTAACCATAAACGGTCTGTTACTTCTCCTAAAAACGAAGACTTACTCGCGACGAAGTATTTATTATTATTAACTCTGTTCTATCTTTTTGTAAATAATATAAGTTTAGTACCGAAAAATTACTCCTGCAACTAAAAATAGATGGCAACTAAAAACTCCTTTAGAGAGGGTCATACAAAAGTGTCAGAGCAGTACTCATGCTGCTCAAACATATCGTTACATTCAATCAGCCTCAAAAGGCTGTTAGTAAAAAGCGTGTTTTGAGTTAATATTTTTTTCAGGAGGCATTTTCTTCAATTAATAAAAAAAATTATGTGAGTTTGCAGAATTTAATTTGATCCTGTATCCGATCTCTAAACTCCGAAGGAAAGTGTCTGGCATTGAAAGGTTTTTTTGCTTAAAACTGTCTCAAATCCAAACGCTAAAAAACTGATCATTACTATAGATGAATACAAGTAATAATCGAAGGACTTTTCAAAATTTTAATTTTTGACAAAATGGCGACTTCTCAAACAACAACTCTTTTTTCTTGGAAAGAGTGGTTAAAAAAATGGAAACTATCATCAAAAATCTCATTCCTTCGACAATTACCCGACAAATATATCTAAGAAGGTGGAGTGAAAATTTCATGTCGATCGGACCGTTTCGGAGAAATTTTCCTCACCCTTTAAGTAAATACTATTACCTTTAAAAAAAAATATGTGAAATATCGGGTGTCAGAGGGTTAAACCCGCACCATTGAACTTTGTAACATAATGTGAAATTTATATTTGTGTATACGAGCAATTCGGTGTAAAATTTGCATTCGAAATTGTCGCAGCCTTCAAATATATGGAGTATATACACACATACTTATACCTATATAACTATGTGTATCTGTTTAAGTGCTGGTGTGTGTGCTTACTTGCTTACTTGCAAGTATATGTGAGTGTGTTAGTTACCTTAATTTTCGAACCTTTCTTTCGGTCACCACCTGCACCACCGCCAGTAAGGCGTTGCTGCAGTTGTTGTTGCTGTTTATTTGGCATAATGCTTTGAAAAGTTTTTAATAGCCGCCACTAAATGTAAATAAACTAAAAAATATATATCACGAAAATATCCGCACGGCTTTGCCCGGCACATGCACGCACACACACACACAATGGCAAAAATGCACACTAAATAAGATACGCGTTAATTTTTTTGTGGAAAGCAGAAAACGTTGAGTTTATTTAATTTTGAAAACGTTATAATATTCTGAAAATGCAATTAATTGAAGAAAATATCTTTGTGACTTTTCATATTTTGTTAATATTTTGAACATTTTCCTTTTTTCAATTGACTTTCAACTGCTCTTTTCATGTTTTCTTGACGTTGTTTATTTATTGCTCATTTTCTGGATTAGATACTCGGTTCGTATTTTGCCTTTCGTCGTCAAGCATTAAAGTTGCTATAGAAATTTTTAGAATTGTTTTAGTTATCGATTAATCGAACTTGTTTTGTGATTTTAATGTGTGAACATATTTCTGTATCTGTATATGTAAGTATCGGACATTTTCTGTAATAAAGTAAAGGCGACAGTGTCCGAAAAATGCGTTAATCTTAAAGTTCCCATAACCACTAAGTATAATTAATATTTAAAACGAGAAAAATCCTTAACTTCCGTGGTATTGATGATATAAAATCCTTCATAGATGCATTTCTTTTGGCATCTTGTATTGAAAAATTATCTATGCTTGAATTCGTGATGATATATTGTCAAATAAAAAAGATATCCACACAAGAATTTGATTTTGATCGTTTAGTTTTTATGGCATCTATATACTATAATGCTCTGATATCGGCGATTCCGACAAATAAGCAGCTTCTTGGGTAGGAATAGACGTGTGCGATATCTCAAAAATTAAATTTGCGTATATATGGTACAGACGGACGGAAATAAATATTACAATATAAGGTAAAACAAAATCACAAAAACGAAAAGTATCTCAAAAAAGTTATGAGTCATCAGTCCCAGCGGGTCTTAATGCTACTTAGGCTACTATCCCTAAACGTTTTCAGTTTATGTACCTTCAGCTCACCTTAAGATATTTGACTCAAACGCAGCTTTTGGAACTCCGTGAAGAAATAATAACGTTCCCCCGGACCAGGTAGATATACATGTTCCAGGAACTCTTCTTCGGTAAAACTATTTGGATCATAAACGAAGGGGGTATTTTGCAAATCACCGTCGACAGACGATGATGGTGACAACGAAACTGCATCGACGTTAGAAATCGACTTAGATATTGATTCGATATTTCGTTGTGTTGTACTCTCCGATTGTTCCTCATAGTTTTCTTCGGCATCTGGCAAGAATTCTGGTGGACGATTCTTCAAGCATTCAGCGCGTTTTTCCACAGCATCTATTGCGCGTAGTAAAATCGGATTTCTGCATTGAAAAAACATGCATGGTTAATATTATGACTTTTACAATAGTACGCGTTCATGACAGACTCACTTAATGCGGTTTACATATTCATTGATCTCTTCCGTGGTCTTTGTGTAGTCATTTAAATACGGATTTTCGGCAATATACTGATTTCGTTTCAAAATTATATCTATATCGATTTCAAGATCTGCATCCAATTGGCAATCACGTGCATCCAAATTCATTATGGTTGTATTAAATTGCAAAACCTTCAAGATTTCTATACCAGCTTGTTGACTAATGGGCACTGCGCGTAGATCCAACGAGCGAAGCGGCAAATGCTTCAAAAATTCATTTGCAATGCAACAAATGATTGCCGATTGGGTCATTTGTGAGGTTCGCACATTTAAATGTGTGATGTTTTGCGTGCCGAAAACTTTTCTGCTGAGTTCATGCAGGCCCCAATCACCCAGCGGATTGCCACCAAGTCCGAGATATTCCAATTGGCCACCATACTGACTAAGGCCGATGGCCAAAAAGTGTAAAGCATGCGCACCAATCAAATTGTGCTCAAGTTCGAGCGACTTTATAGAATTCGTATGCCGGAACAACTCAAACAAACCCAAACCGCAATCGTCATCCAAGCAATCGTAACCGAAATCAATGGTTTCTATACTTTGCAAGCATTTCAGTGACTTTGCGAGTATATATAACTTTCGAGCATCCATATAGCTGCAGCGCAGACGGAATATCTTCAATTTTTGCAGGAATGAGATGCCACTATTTTGAAAGATATAAACATAAAATAAAAACAAGTAAGGGCGGGCTAAATTCGGGTGTAACCGAACATTTCATACTCTTGTAACTTGCAAGGATCAAAGCCGCGGAAATACCTTTAGGTGTTGGCAAAACTTCATAATAAAAATTGTTGACGTGAAAAACGTCAACGCAGATCGGTATTGATGAGATTAGGGATATGAGATTAATATCAACTTCATACATATATTTAGCGGTAAACCATTAATACAATATTGTTAGAATAACGGAAATTATTATATGTAGTACAATAGAATTTCACATATTTTCGACATTAAACGTATGTACATCCAATGTTATCTTGTTAAGATATCTTACATATTGACCGATAAATACGGTATAATGCAAACCGGAAATTTGAAAATATTTTATTAGGTATGTGGAAGATAGGTGTACTATTCACAAAATTTTATCTATTCTTAGCGTTGCTACATATTATTAATAGACTCTCTGAGTTTCACTAAGATACCTCATCATCAACAATATACTTGTATAAGGGGTAAGGTCAACCGAATATTTGAAAACCCTGATAATAGTTATGTGGAGGCTAGTGCAAGTATTTACCCAATTTTATCCAGTTTAAGTACAGAGAAGGGCCGTTAAGAGAAAAACACGCTCACTCAATTTAATTAAGATAACTCACATAATGGCCGATATATGGGGTTAAGGTCAGCCGGAAGTTCGAAAAATCCTTCTATTAGGTACGAGTACATGGAGGCTAAGGAAACTATTGACCGAATTCAACTCATTTTTGACACACAGACATAATATTATCAGAAAAGCATTCTCTCATATTTTCAATTATATATCTCACACATTGACCGATATTTTCGGCAAAGTCAGCCAAAGGCTCTAGGATCCACATGTCAAGTAACTGTGGACTTGAATCGTTTTGTCCGATTTAAACAATTTTTCGTCAAGTGGCACATTTTAATTTCCATCACATGGAATTAAAAACTGTGTTATATGGGATATAGGCGTGGTTTTTATCCGATTTTACCCTTTTTGGCACTGAGAATGTCAAAATATGTACTAAATTTCATTAAAATATCTTCATTTTTACTCAAGTTATCGCTTGCACAGACGGCCAGACGGACGGACAGACAGTCACTCGGAATTCAACTCGTCTCATCAACTTTATCATTTCTGTATATATAATATAACTCTATATCACACAACTTACTAAGCCAAACCTTCTATATCGGCGTAGGAGAACTTCAGGTGTCTTTCGTGAAAATCACGCTTCATATCTGGACCGCGAAACTCTATGGTGAAATTGACTAGGTTGTCGAAAAAGCGCAGAAAACGCAAGCTAACATGATGGCATAGCCTGGTCGGGTAAACAAGCTTCTTTATAGTTTTCAATTGACGTTCTAAATTTCGCCGATCCACTACCAAATACTCTTCATCCTCTTCAGGTGGTTCAACCACCATATCGAATACTCCTTTAGCTCTGAACTTCTTCTTCTTCTTTTTACCAACTACAGGCTCCTCAACTGGCGGTGGCGTTATTATCTTTTGCAATTCTCGGACGCGTTGTCGTTCCTGTCGCTCTGCGCGTCGTTTTTGTTGCTCCTCTCTCAATACACGCGTTCGTTCTTTACGTTCTGCCATGATTTCCCCATACATACGTTCCCATTCCAGTTCTTCTTCCGTTTTGTATACCTCTGACATTTCTTCTAGGGTACTCGTTTCCCTAGCTGCTAAAATGTGTTTATTTTTGCTACGTGTCGATTTTACTTCCTCCTCCTCGGACCCCAACTCTTCATCCAACGTGAACACGGCAGAACGTGGTGTCACCGTCATTGATTCTACATCCGTGGAATCGCTTTCAGACTCTTCAGAATCATCTAAATGTATGTGCTCTTTAAAAAATCTTTCCGACATCGATTGTAATCTACGTATATGCATTTCTTCGACAAAGTCCTTTATTTTCACAGCTATTGGTTGCATTTCATCCAAAGGCCAATACTCGGCCGGGCACGCTTCCACCAATTCAACAAATTTCATAGATAATCCAAGACTACGCCAGTTGTACTCTTTTTTAAAAGTCAATGTAATATTCTCATTTTTAGACAATACAAAACGACGCCAGTACTTCTGGTCGGTAATGTCATAGCATTCCTCCAGTGGCAGATCCAAACGTAGCGAGTCATAGTATAGACGTAATTTCAACGGATCCTCGGCTATTAATGGCAATTGTTTCGGCGTATACGCTTGTGATAAGGTGCTTGTACATAAATCCCTCAATGGACCCAACTTAGGATTTTCAATGAATATTTCAGCGTACATGGTGCGGCCCTGTTCAGATTTCAAGGCGCGCGTCTCCAATGATGGCCGATAAACGTCATATGCTATCAAGAGGTCATGTTCTTGTGGAATACCTAAGGTATTCATGCGTATGGGATTAAAATAATCCGTCTTAACTTCAGCTTTTGTCTCTTCCATTTCGGGGTATTTATTATAAAATATATTCTTCTTTAATATTCGTTTATATATTATACAACAATTATTAGATTTATTCAAAAATATATGTATTTGTGAACAGATTTTTTTTAAAGAAAAGATGTCAAGTCTTCAAAAGTATCTAATTATAACAAGTTGTAAAGTTTCTTAGTTTAACACAACAGGAAAAAGTTATCTAAAAAAATAAATCACGTTGTGTTACCGATAAATATGGCATGAAGTCAACCGGGAGTATATTAGGTGTATGAAGCTAGAAAAAGTACTGAAGGAATATTGTTCATTCTCATTCATCAGATCTCATTATCATCAGGACAGGAGGTCATTTCATTGAATTAAGATTTGTAAAATATCTATGGATATATTTGGTATAAAAAAAGCCGTAGGCACTGAGACCTCATATTCGGTATCTGAGGGCTTGATATAGTAGGATCCCATTTTGACTATTTTTAGATAAGCTGGTTCGAATTTTATTATTATTTAATTGGTGCTTTGTTTTATATAATATAAAAAACTGATTTAATTTAAAAGTTTTATACGATGGGTTGAGCTCGAGATTGTCATTCAGGGGTTACAGAAACCTCAAAACTTAATATTTAATACTTTACCAGGTGTAGCACTCATAAGATCAAATTTCTTTGGTGCTATAAATGCATCTGCCTTCCCAAGATGATAACGGCATAACTCTTAAAAGAAAAGGTATTTTTGGTTTTTTAGTCAAAAGTATATTATTCTAATTTTTTTTCCCGACTTTTAAAAAAATATATAATAAATTGTATGTATACTTCTGGCAGTGTATATATACCTACATACATACATATTTTTATTCGTTAATAATTTGAATGTGGTCCTCTTGGTATGTCAAAATACCAGAACCGTGACAAAATTTCATCCTTATCAAACTTATTTGGATCTTCGGAATGAAATTTCGTAATCCAACTTGATCTCTCTTCCTCGCATACACCCACTTCGACGCCTCCGTCTTCATCTTCTTCGTGTGTCTGTTCTTGATGGAAATTAAATATAGAACTTGCAGTTTCACTCTCACGATGAAATAAATTCGGGCGCAGCTTTAAGCATTCTTCTCTCCTTTCTACCGCTTCTATTGCACGTAGAAGGATTTTGTTTCTAAAATATAACAAAAGTTATATACTTTCTATATTTAAATCTGTTAAATGCCAAGTAGAACTCAGTGAAAAGGGTAAAACAAATGTCAGTAAATGGAGAGTATGAATGTACTACAAATACAAGTATAATAATGGGATAGTCCGACTTACCTTGTTTTTTTAAGAGATTGATCAATATCTTCGATAGATATCCTGGTATCGCCAATGGCTGGATAAAGGAAGAGGAATTTATTTCGATTGACTAGAATTTCGAAATCGACCTCCAAATCGACAGGTAAGTCACAACCGCGTACATCGAATTTTCGTATTTTGTAGTTGTCCTTTAATGACTTTAGTATTTCACATGCTACATCGGTGTCGATTACAACTCCCGACATATCAATGGCCCGCAACACTTTATGATTTGGGATCAGTTGCTGGGCAATACAACTTTTGATGCCCTCTTGAGAGATTATCGCTCCGCGCAAGCATAATTCGCGCACCTGCTCAGTATTTGCAATATGCAAGCAGAACAAATTCAATGCGTCTGTACTTATAGTGCTGTGGGCCAAACTCAAATACTGACAGCAACCATCATAACCTCCGAGTGCTCTCGCCAAATCGCAAATTGCCTCAGCGCCGAGCTCATTACCAGTCAAATCTAGTGATATAATTGAGGTAGTTCTTTGGAAAAGTTCATGAAGACCCTCTCCGCAATCATCTTTCAAATTATCGTAGCTGAAGTCAACGATTTTCAAGGTGTGAATTGTCTTCAGACTCCTGGTGAGTAAGAACAGCTTATTTGCATTCAAACGACTATTGCGTAGACTAAAGACTTGCAGACCACCTAGACCTCTTAGGCCCCTGTGTGTAAAAAAGATAGTAAATATATGAAAAATTTACTCAGCCGAGAATCGACACGCATTGATTACAACTTTGGTGACAAAATGTATATAAAGGCAAATATTTTATAATAGCTGTAGGTATGTATGTTAGAGTATTTTTCTCAAGTGTCTCGAAGATGTAAACAAACATTGAGTGTACTCTGAGTAGCAATCATCCATCCGTGGTTTTCTTAAAGTCTAAAGTCTTAAACTTCTAAAAGGAAGTATGTACATTGCTTGGTTCTATCATCTTGGTTAATCTCATTTATATTTAATCCAGGCTTTGGACAGAATTCATGAAAAGAAGACACTCAGAAACGTCTTTGGTTGCGTATTTTACGTAGCTCTGGTTTTAACCCAAAGGTGCATCCAAGAGTAAGTAAATCTCAACGTCAAAAGTGAGAGATATGTATGTACATTAGGGTGGGTTAAAAAAAATATATACGCTTGGTACTCTGAAAAGTTGGTGGATAACTAGTTATGAGTGCTTAATTATAACGGGAAGGTCCTCCGCGTTACAGTTTTCTATTTTTTCTTGTTATCAGATAGAAAAATTCATATCTCGCTTCTGACTGCTTGAAAAATCATTCATTAAGTTAACAAATTCATAAGAAAAAAAAAATTGTCTTAAAATAATCAAACTTCAACCGCTAATATTTTTTAAACGGTTGTGTTTACGAAAAAATCATGAGATATCATTTTATAGAACATTTAATTTCCTTCAAAATCTATGAACCGAGATATTTTTTCGGGAGTCGGAAGCGAGATGTGAATTTGTTTATTTGATAATAAGAAAAAAAAATCGAAAATCGTAAGGTGGGGACCTTCCCGTTATAGGTTATAGGTGTCTATCCACCAATTTTTCAGAGTAAAAAGCGAGAAAAAAATGAATATTAGTATTTTTTTTTGACCCACCCTAATGTATATGTATATATTTTAGTATCTAATTCACCAACTCACTCGGCCAATCGTTCGATGTCACGCGTACTGACATGATAATGCCAATCCTCATATTTGACTGGTGGCGGTGGACCATTAAACTCAATGCGCAAGGTATTCAGGAATGGAAAATACTTCAGTAGACGCAAATCTGCATGATGGCAATAATCTGCAATCGCTGGATCCCTCATTGCAACTTGGAGTTGCTTTATTTTATCTTTATTTAGTGCGTTCAAGACAATTATGTCATCTTCCTCTTCTGGCGGCTCAACTTCCATATCAAATACACTGATCATTTCAACATCACCTTTCTTCTTTTGCCTTTCCGCTCTTCTTTTAGCCAATCTTTCCTTTGCTGCCTTTTCTTTGGCTGCTTTAGCAGCTGCCTCGGCTTCACTTTTCGCCCGTTCTTCCGCGATTCGTTCGCGTTCTTTACACTCTGTCCTCTTTTGTCGCCTTAAACGTTGTGCTATTCTCTTTTCGTTCCTAATTGATTTATCTTCAAGCTCGGTATCGTTAGCGTCGAACCACAAACTATTAATTGATCTCGAATTGTAATTCCACGTTGAGTAGACACTTGTTGTACTTGAAAAGCCCCTAATATTACGCATCGGTTGGTTGATTGTTGGACCCAACAAAACATGTTTGTTTGAACCAGATTGTGAAGTCCGCAAGATGCTCTTTCTGCTTCCCTCACTTTTGCTTTCAATATCTTCCTCCTCTTCAGCTTCGAGCTGCTCCTCCGCACTAACAGAACTACTGGGAATAGTCGTCGATGAGCCAGATGAGGAACATACATCATCGCGCCTTACATGTTTCAGTAGGGTGTGCTCATCTATCGATCGCAAATGTTCAATATGTAAATCGGTTACGTAAATGTTAATTTTAGCTGATAAACTTTCCGTCTCGACTTCATCCCAGTATCCCGCACTTAATTCTTGTAGGTATTTTTCAAATTTCATCGTAATTCCCTTATTTTTCCAATTTATTTTCTTAACTTGCAAACCCGGATCCTTGTGACGAGACAAAACATAACGTTTCCAATAGCTCTCATCATCTATATAGTAACACTTCTCTAAAGGTAGATCCAGGTTTAGTGTTTTGTAGTAGCTTCTCATTATAATGGGATCATTTTTAACTAAATCAATTAGTTCATTCGGTTCGTACATTTTAGATAAAGCTTTTCCACATAAATACCATAAAGGTGCGAAGCCAGGCGGATGTATAAGCGCATCAGCATATATCCTTTTATCAGACTCACTTTTCATTAACCTCGTCTCAGGAGAACTTTTATATACTTCATAAGCATTCATTGCACCCTTATCTTCCGGAAAAACACCAACACTACTCTCCTGCATACATTTCAAGTATGTTTCGGATAATCCAGTCTTATTATCCAAGTTACTTGTGATTTTAATTGGTTGATTGACCAAGCTTGGTTCACTACCCAAGCTTCTCTTTTGCATTTCCCTGCCGTTTGGAGAAACCAAAAGAAATTATATCGAAATTTATACTGCAGGCCAAATCTGCCGGAAGTTTGAATCCTTCCAAATAAGTACGCGTATAAAAATATAAAACAAAAAAATTGTAAAAAAAACAGTAAAAAATATTTCTAACAAAAAATATTTAATTATTTTAAGCTTCTATTGTTTGTCTGTCATGATTTACATATGTAAAAAACGCAAATATTAAATATTTTCGAATTTTGATTTTAATAATATTGGTAAAAAAAAAGTTTTAAGCATAGTGGCAATCTATAAATAGTTGGATCTTGGTATATCGATACGTAATCGATATCTAATTCGTCATTTCTTTCGCACGTCTGTGCCAGTTCTTTTTATTGAGAAAGTTTCCTGGGGCAATAAAATCTCACGGTGTGACGTGACCTGACCCCAGATAGATATTTTTTGATACAGTAACTGATTTTTACACAATTCGCTACCGAGTGAGAATCAATCTTGAAAAAACTTTCTGTACTAGCATTTATGAAGGCTTGTAAGTTTGCCGCATCGCGGTTTTAGCTCATCGATGCATACCTGTCCTGTTAATCCAAGTCGATAACTACAGCAAATAACAGACCAAAAAGTTTCAAATAGTGCCTGCTAACACTAAAATATTCATAGCTGGAAAAAATATATAATACTTACTGTAATATTTTTACTATATACATATATGCATATAGAGATATATGGTATATATTATATTGTATGTAGACATGAAGAAAAAAGTCCCACCCACCAATATATTGAGTAATTAAAATTATGAATTTGTGAGGTTTCTGTTTTTTGTTTTTCTTCAGTATCTCTACTACTCTCATTCTTTCAAGGAAAAAAATAATAATAAAACAAGAACATGGCACATTATCTAATTATATCGTAAGGCACGTTCACATTTATTTCTTTAACCAGGCGCTCAGCACATAAACGCGATATAGCACAATTTCGAATTTCTACATTCATAAGTTGAATAAACCGCTAGATTTGGGTATGAACGTATGAATGTAAATAAAAGTTCATTGAAACATTGCAATGAATTTACGAGTATACGTTTTTTTAAATTATTACAGTGTACAAGTAGTAGTGTACTTTCCTATCTTCAAAAATATTTGAACCGTACTTCCTCAAGTCAGCAATGCGATTGAATGCCGAAAAGGTTGTACAACGCTGGTGATGGAAACTAATCAGTTCTTATTTTTTGACATTAAAATCGGTTTTACAGAAGCTATAATACCAATCACAAATAAAAATTGTTTTTCATACAAGAACTTGATTTTGATCGGTCAGTTTGTATGATAGCTGTTCGCTACAGTGCTCCGATATGGGCGGTTCGGAGAACTGAGCTGTTTCTTGGGAAGGAAAGGACGTATGCAAAATTTCAGATCGATATATTAAAAACTGCGGAATAAGTTCGCGTATATAGAGACAAGCGAATATGGCTTAATCGAGTCAGCTCTTCACATTGATCCTTTGTATACATAGTTTTTTAGGGTCTCCGACGTTTTTTTTTGGGAGATCCAAACTTCCTGACAGTCAAGTTAGTCCATTCAGACAAACTTAATATATGCTATTCAGGGTATAAAAATATATAAACGTCAACACTAAGTCAGAAATAGATGACGTTTTATTAGCGTATATATTTTGGCTAAGATATTATTAAGCAAGTGATAAATTTACGAACCCAGTAAAATGATGATATTTTGAAAGGGCTTGAGTCTAACTAAATCGGAGTAGAAAATGTATGACTTAAAATTTTATAATCGGGATAATACAGGATAATGTGTGAATTTCTTATTAAATTGCATATATAATATACATATATATAAATATGTATATATAGCTTCCACTTATACTTAATTATTGCCACATATATTTCATTATACCAGATTATGTGATTTGTAACAGTTCATTGTTCGATTCGATTTCTACAGTCTGATGAGCTAATTGCAGTTCCCATATATATCTATTCCATATATATAGTTATTTGTTGATTTGAGGTTTGAGGAATCAAAATAAAACAACAAATTTGTATTTAAATTTAACATTAACATTTATTTTAAAGGAAATGTGAATTAAATTTAATTAAGTTACCAATAAAAAAATTAATTTACTGAAAGCTTACGATTAAGTTGTTATATATAATGACATACATGTGTATGTATATATGAATAAAAAATACTCGTCTAATTTAAGATGTTCGAATGCGTTTTATATATCTAACAGGTAACTCAGGTAAATAAATGCACACAAAGAACAATATGGGACCGAATAAAAGTGTCAGAACTAGCCAACATAGTATGGTTAGTAAGGTAAGTATATCCATAGCAGCGTATAGCTGATTTTTGTTTTATAAAAAATACATATAGAATTAATAATTTTTATATCAATTTCTTCGATCGCAAGTCTTCGATATGCCCTGTTAATACCGTTATATTATGTAAAATATTTTAAGTATAATATATGAAAGCAGATTTGCTAAAACTAATATCACTAGCATATACAATTTTCTGCAGTCCAAAAGAACTGCATGCGTCCACAATATGTATAAAATTTATATTGAAATTTATTTTATTTATGCAAATTTGTGCATCGTCGAAATTGTACAAGCCGAATGCAGGTAACTTTAGACAAAATGTTTCACTGGAGTATAGTTAGAGGCACGTGATTTCACTTAGGAGCGCCACCTGAAATGATAAATAGCAGTAAAAATAAATATTAATAAAATCCAAAATTAAATTTTAACAATTTATTTACTAATTTAGTAAACTATATTTTTAGAACTTGAAGCCTCAACATCGGACATGCAACTATATGTATATTTTTGTGGCCAACTGTCAATAACAAAATGTAAATGTCAACTTGTGCTGCTGTATCGTACACACCCGTTCTTGTGCAGGAACCGAAAATGACTAGCATTCTCTTTAGCCATCCGACTTTATACTCGCTGAGACGCTCACTTACATACATACACATATACATATATATGTATGGTACATACATACATGCATGCGTGCATATCATTCTTTTTGCTACCTACAGATGCATTTAAGCGACTTAAGTAATTGGTATATATTTTTAAATTCTTAATTCTTAATTTCGCGACGCACACAATTGCAGCAAAAATAAAAGCGTAAATCTGCAGTCGGCAGCTATTCTTAGCAGTCGTTGACTTACTCACTTTTAATCTGTTGTTTACATTATATTCTTATGTTATTTTTCGCCGTTTCCAACTTGTTAACTGACATGATATATAAATATTCGATATCTCCGATAAGGAATGTTTTCCGCATACAGACTTTAACAACGTATGAGAGGATTAACATAAGGCTTAGATCGTAATCATCGTCTTGTTAGATCATATTTACTCTTTGCTATACTTAGTGACTGCTTTGTAACGCTACAGGGTCAACTCAGGTTTTGAAGTGCGTGGTCAACTCAGGTTTTGAAGTGCGTGAGGTTAACACACATAATTGAAAAATGTGTTTAAGCGATATCGAAATTTCAAAATGAAGTCAAAAATTTTTCGAATATTATAATTAGATTATATTTGATTAGATGATATACTCGTATCATGAGAACAAAGTTTTTCAACAGACAGCCCAACGGAAAAAGGTATCAAACTTAAGGGGTACACCTAGTGTAAGAGTATAAAAAAAGCGATTTTTGGGATTTTAAAAAAATACTAAAATTTTTAGATACATTTTAAAAATATGCAGTAAAATTTTTGAGAAAAAAAATTAAATATTTTTCGAGTTACAGACGATCTCCGTATGCGCCAAAAAAGGGACTCCGCTGCTGCAGTGATGACGGCTTCTCCTTGGATGAAAACTATAAAACAAATTCTCTGCTAGAAGATATTATCCGTACAATGATCTACGGTCAAAAAAAGCAAAAATTAACAAAATGGCGGCGTTTTTTTAAAAATATTTAATTCATTCCAAAAACTTGGTCGGTTTTGACTTGCCAAAATTCGATTATCGGTCAGTTCAAAAATACAGATACAGAACATACAGAAACAAATTGATAGGGAAAATTAACCGAGGTATAGATTTTTTGAGTGCGCTCTATTTTTCCATACAACAGCTAGACCAAGAGAAGTCTCACAAATAAATCTACCTACATATGTGTTGATTATAGCGTAAACTTGTAAACTCTTATATCCAATTGCCAACTATATTACTTTGAAGACATTAAAAACCGGATTTTGTTTAAAATAAATTCTAGATACATATATCATACCATCTATTGCCACTCTATGCTAAGTCAGTGTATTCGATTTTCAAGGTTATGTCTTTATTCGTGCACCTGCATACATACATACATAATTAAGCGACTACAGGCATGCGCATACAGTCAAGTTCATATTAAGCGCTTGTACTACATAAAATTACAGAATGTTTTGCTTGTTATTAACTCGTTTCACTTTCAAGCTTGTCGGTACATGCAACATCACTGAATAATAATTATAAAAAAACCTAGCTTTATCTACTTGCATGAAAATAAATCGTTTCGGACTGACATTGGTATATACTATACCATGTATATGTGTGCGAAAATGTACATAGCCGCTTACATATGAGAACATAACTAAAATTTTTGCTTTGTTTTGTTTTGGAAACTGGTTTTGCTTGTTCGAGCATATTTTGGTTGTAATTATAGACAAATTGACAGAATATAACCATTTAACTGCTATTTAAGTCTATATACATATATATGGTATAATAAAAACCGGACAAACAGACCATATACAACACTTTTAAATTTAAATTTATGCTCTATTCTATTTTTATGAATTTATGTTAAAATTATGACACAAGAGAAGCAGAAATGAACTGTAAGGTAAACCAAAAATCACAGAACACGCGTATTAATTCAGTTTTAATGTTCAATTTTATTTGTTTGAGATTTATATCTTAATTTAACTTGTTATATATGTAGGCCTGTTTAATTTGAACATGCATAACGAAATAAAATTATTTGAAATAACTGTCAATTTGGAAGCTATTAATATAATAATTTATTAATGGGTTTTCATTAGATATAAGCAACATTTATCGATTAGTGGCATATGAGTTGTGTTTTTCTATTAAAAGCAAGGGGTCATATATGTATATACCTATAAGAGTTTTAATGAGATTTAGAATTTGTATTTTTCTAAGATTTTGCAACATTAAGTTTTTGGCCTAATTGTAATAGATAAACTTCATATTCATATATCGATAAACTTCTTGATTGTGTTATGATACGAGTAGGCGAAGCATAGCAATTAATACACAATATTCTTATTTTTGTCTCTAGCCACAGATAATGTCAATTTTTATTTCTTTTATATTCGTGCAATTGATAAATTAATTGATAATTAATCTCAATACAAGTTAACTGAAGCATATGGTAAGCCGATCTATACCGGTTTTTATACACATACTCGAGCGAGTTTTTCCGTATCTGTATGTAATATTTTCAGACGGTATAAAATCATGAAATCGGATATACATTTATTAACAAATTTATATCCTAAACAGGGCATATTAAGTTTGCCACGAAGTTTCGATCTACACCTTACAAACATATTTCGATATACCGAGGCTTACCGCCTAATATGTATTGTAACAAACAACAAAAGCTTTGGAAACTACTTTATCAAGTATTTTAAAAATATCATAAAATACTTAACAAGTGAAATACTTACATTATATAGAAATAACTGTCGTTATCTTTTCGCTTCACTTCGTGATGTGTTTTGTCATTCAGCCCTCCAATGTGTGGGCTCATGTTGCCCTGTAGACCACTGCTCATGCCAGTCGGCACGATGCGTCCATTAAATAAATTTAGTCCACCGTTCCGCTGATTGTTTGTCAATGTGCCGTCTTTATTTTGTCCAGCGAAAAAAGTTCTGACGTTCTCCATTCTGCTTTATCAATTAGTTTGTTATTTGTGAATTCGCTAGTCTTTAACAAGGTGTATAATGAATGCGAGCGCGAGCCCCTGTAAAAGATAATAAAATTTAAATAAATCATTATATATTTTTTTAATTGGTTTGTTGTTGTTTTCTTTTTTACAATCAGCTATTTTTAGCATCTGATAAACAAATGTTTTGGCATTTCTAAACTAAACAAGTCTTACCGATTAGAAACAAAAAAAGTTAATAACAAAATTATCAAAATTATCAAAATTTTTTCCGCTAGCAAAACAGATGTCGGAACAAACAAATCGTATGATAATTGACGATTTTTTATTAGGCAGTGGAATTTTTCGACTTTTGTAGAGCCTAATTTTTTTTTATATAAAGATGTACAATATAATTTGGAGTGCTTGATAGCGGAATTGAAATTAAACATTTACATATTTAAAAACAAATATATGTACATATTTTATATGTATACTAATACCAATGCATTTTGTTATAACTTTCAGATTTCTTTCCGATATTCTAAAAACTAAGGGATAAACTAAATTTTTCATTTTTTATTTTCGTAATATCGTAAGAAGTTATATTTTTTTGTCTTATTTTTATAACAATTGGTAAAAGTAAGTACACGTTTTTCAACGAAAATGTTCAAAACATATACCATAATTTTCAAAATGATATCGTATTCTAATCTTACGGACAGATAAGCCATAAAATTTCCTCCATATAGTTTTTTCTGTAGAAATTACTAGATATAGCCCATTTTTATGGCTTTTATACCAAAAGCATGTGTCGGAATCTATCGGTCCGATATCAGTTTTGATACAAATACTCGAGATTTAAGCGATTGATTACATCGTCCTATGATTAAAAGACTACAGCGATGGGTTTTTAAAACAGTAAGCGAGTAAGTTGGACAGTGTAACCTCTTCAATAAATTATATCATATTCCACACTTTTCTTACGGACAAGATTAGCCTTATTATCATTACATTTTCACTGCTAGGTTAATGAATTTTATTACTTCGATCAATGCGCCTGAATGTAGGCAATACTTTACGGTTGTAACTTTGCAGAAAGTGAAAGGAGAGCGAAATGACTAAGGAAACGCAGTAAAGGAGCATACAAATAATTTTTTATTACAATGTGATATAATTATAATAATTGTTATAAACTTGTTATATATATTATATAATAAGAATTAACAAAATTACTTACTAAGACACACAACTACAACAAAGTAAAGAATAGCAATTACACAGGTATTTTCAAAATTTCGTTTCGATGACAATTTCTTAGATCGAATTGAACAGACGACCTTGGTTTTGATAAAGTTTCAATTTCTTTTGTTCCCCAAGTATATATTTACTTTCGAATAAGACTAAGAATTGTAGCTTTTTCTTTTCAAACCGAAAACAAATGAATAACGGGCCTAAAGTGAAACTCAATTTATTTCGTTTCCGAAAAGAAATTAAGTTAAAAAATAAGATAACTTCAACTGCTGGTGTATTAGAAAACATTATCCTACCTTTATCGTATTTTTTGTTTCAGTTTTAAAGTTCTGAGAAGCCTTAAAAATAAATAATTATGGTTTTTTATTTTAAATAAAAATTATATGATGGTCTCAACGGTGCAACAACGAATGAATTCATTTTTTTTTGTAAATTATTTTTATGGAAATAGGTGTATACAAGACGCTATTAATTTACATTTAGGCAGTGCTATGAACTGATTTTGTAATCTACATTCCAGAGCACTTCGTCAAGGTGCTGGCAAATGAATGTATGTTTGCATGTAGCCCACTGTATATACTTAAATTCCTGCATTCAACAGCTTCTGATCGACACCAATACTATATAGTTTTATACAAATAGCATATGCAAGGAAATAATGTATGTACTTGTATGTACGTACAAGTATTTTCTTTGATAACAGTTTTTTACCCTTCAAAGTGATGATAAGATAAATATTTATACAGTTGAACGTAGAATTGATTCAACGCCAACCGATTTTCTCAACGCATAACTTCATTTTGAAATTCACGTCTTTTGCCATATACATACATATACACATACCCACATAGTGTGTGTTCACTTCGGTTATCACCACTAACGCCGTCAAGTGGAAGTTGTTGCTGTGACACTGGCCTTTTGTGTATCAATTCGCGTGGCATAATGAAAAAGTCAAACAGATAATTTACTACTCGAGCAGGTGCATAGTACAAATCTATTTACTTTTTTGGCTGCCACTGCGCACTGAATTTTTATTTAATAAAATACTTTTACATTGTTTATGAAAATATGAGTGTAATATATGGATCATTTCTGTTGCACCATTTTCGTTATTGTTATTTGGTAAATCTAAATATGAAAATATTGTAACATACCGTTAATATACGAATTTTTTCATATATAATATTAATATGAACTAAATATGTATTCAGTTTGGTATGTATGTTTGGCTCAGCGTGTTGTTTTATAAGTAGCTGTGGAAAATCCAGTCACATACCAATGACCGCAAGGCGTTATTGCTATAGAGTGACCATGAAGTTATAAGTATGTGTACTTGTATTTATTTGTATATATTCTGCCAAAATTCTACCCCAACCTTATCGAAAGTAGCCAAAGTATTTTTCAGTATTAATAGAATTTGACTTTTTCACTGTTTAGTTGTTTTATTATGTTTACTTCGCTTCCATTGATAATATTAAAAATTAAGCTCGAACAACTTTGTTAAATGCTAGGTGAAGCTTCTACGTTATAATTCTTGAAGTTATTCGACATCATTCTTATATATCATTATTATCAGAATTAGTTACGTTTGTTAGAAAACCTTCCCACGACAGTCGCGTATACAACTGAAGTGGAGCCGGAGGTAGATATAATCGACTAACTACTATCAACCAGACAGTTTTGCCAATATTGCCACTATAACAACAATAACATGAAACACAATATTTGATTTTGAATACAATATGGAAATTTGGAAACATTGTAACACAGGGTAAATTTTATTTAGGAAGTAGGCGTGTTATTTTATCTGTATCTATAGTACTTATAGAAGATTGAGGGAAAAAACGTGTTATTAAAGTTATGAAGAAGTTTCTCTGAGATATCAATGACACAAAGGCATAAGTAGACTCTTTCAGATATTCGAAATCACTTAAAAATGGTTGTATATCTGTTGAGTGAGAGTGAAACCAATCATAATCCTTCAAAGCAACATCTAATACAAAATTGCATTCTTTGAGGCAATTTATCTTTCGATTAAAATATATTGATGTCAGCAATTAGTAATCTAGTAAAACATAGTGTGCGGTCGTTGCGGACGAGTTTGGGCATTGCAATTAGAATAAGTGAGGCGTAATAGAATCATCAGAGGCAAATTATGTATGTACTGCATTTAAGTAATCTTTATACATAATTCGTTTCAAAGTACACTAGACATTTTTGAATACATTTTTACTTGTTGATATTTGGAACCAATATTTGCCTATATCGGCTTTAATGGGTACAGTGACATCATAAGTACTTTTTTGTTGTTGGATGCCTCCTGTCACTATTTAACATTTCTAAAATATTTTGGAAAAAGAACATCAGCAGAAATTTGTAAGCTTCATGAATAGCTGATGGACGTGTGTTTGTTTTTTTTCCCTTTATTTATTTATATTTTTTGTGTTTATTTTGAAAATATCATATCTAAAATATTAAAAATGCTTCATACCTATACATTTTTCATTTACAATTATATAATTTTCCTTTCTGTGTAATTTTCTTTTATACAAATTTGTTTAAATTGACCTTGAAATTGTTTTTTTGTTGAAAAAAAAAATTATTTAGTTGTCTTTGATCAACTGGCAAAAGTTTTTCCAACAAAAACTGTTAGTTTCCCAGCTAAATAATTTGTCAAATTATTTTCATCTACTCTGCTGGTTATTTTGTATAACGAGTAGATCTAATTTTAATTTATTCTTTAAACTCACAAATTTTTTTGCGGAACTTTTATGAACTGGACATTTCTATTTTCAATATTTTTGGGTCTCAGAAATTTATATTGTTGAATATGTTGTCAATATATTAAAAAAAAAAAGTTATATTATTGTTAACTTTCACTTGAAAATCACTTATGTCAAAATACCGTAATATATAGGCATATAAGAAATATTGGCGGTACACCTTCGAAACAGTTGACCCGAATAGAAACACCGATTTACCATATATGTATATAGCTATTTTTATATACCCAATTTTACTTTGGAATAGACTTTGTAAATTTGTAAATACTTTTCTGGTTTTTTTTATTTCTGAATTTTTTGCTTTGTGAATATTTACATGAAATGTGTATATACTCAAATGCAAAGTTTAAGGCTTTGTGTTTTATTTAAAATAGGCACTTCGAATATATACATATTTCCTATAACATACAGGTACACTATGCTACACATTTCTCTTATATTATATGGATGTGCTCGAATCACTCAACGTCAAACACTGGCCAGTAAATCATTATCAGCTGAATAAATTAATCACCTTGTTGGATTTTTATTATTTTTCTTTTATAAGTTTGCTTTTTCTGCTGATAACGCCACTTTGTATTTATTGTAACTTGTTTTAATAAATTTTAGCGCGTTCCGTATTTTTAGTGTTATTTCCAAAATATGATTTGCTAGTTTACTGCTGTTTTTGTGCGCTCGCTGACTCGTTCACCGCCGCAACTGAACGCTAGCTTGTCGCGTCTGGCGCTTTTATAGTTGTCGCTCCACACCGCTTTAGTCACTTGCCGACGCACCAACGCTCAATTCCAGTATGGCGCTCAATTGTTTATTACTTTTTTTTTTAGTTTTTATTTATGGTAGTTGGAACTGCATTTAATTTTCGATTTTGTTTTGATCGAGTTTTTATTCGAACTGTTTTATTTATGCTTTATCCACCATTTCGCTGCACAAACAAATTAAAAAGCGGCATTTTGAGGTTATATCAATGTATATGTGTGTAATTGAATATATTGTATATATATATATAGGTGTGCATGCTCAAACCACGATATCTGCGCCCCAAGATACACAGACCATCGCTGCTACGTTTCGTTTGTGAGTGTTGTCCATTAAACAGCTATTAAAATTTGCATACGAGTAAGAATTGGTATAGGCTTATTAATTTATGTACGCATAGGTATATATAAACCTACATACATACATAGGTATATGTAAAATATATGTAAATGTTCATCAATAGGTGCAAGCAAGCCATTGTCACTTTTGAAGAGGGCGCGCCCCCTTGAAGAAACAATAACGATCGGAATTGCGAGCGCAAACTATGAGCAGACCATATTTACGGAGAACATTTCATCAAAAGAGCAAGAGTTGAAAATAAATGTAAATATACTCTCGTATTGATAATTATAAGTTAGAGTTGTGGCGAAGTAATAATATAATCCCGATTATAGTTTGAAAAATATGGATATGCTTGAATTTTTTTGTTTAAATTAGGCTTTTCGTTTAGTATTTCTTTTCAATTTTTATTTTTTATTGAATTTTTTGAACAAAATTTGAAATAGAATGAATCATTTGACTATTAATGAGTGCACCGTGAGCTTTAAAGTAGTTTTAAATGACAGAAAGAGTGTAGCCCTAACGAATTGGATTGAGCAAGACACCCCTTAATTGTATATCTGAAAAATTAGTAAGTTTTAATGTAAGTTAATATACTACAACAAGTCTTGATTATTTTAAATTTTGGTGTTGAATCTTATAATTTTCGAATTTTTTTTTTTTTAGTTTTTTGTTCTCGCTAGATACCATAACGACGTAGTATATCATAGAAGTACATATGTGGATAAATTCTCAACTGAATACTGATGACACACCTCGGGTGACAGCCTTAAAAATGGCGATTTTAGCGAATTAAAAAAACGACTAAATTTTTGGAAGAAATAGTTTAACATTTTTCGAGTTTCGAGTTGGCACTAAAACATATTCACTTATTCCGCTTTACTCCGTGGATGAAACCTGAAACAAATTCTCTACTACAAAATATTGTCGCTACAATGACTTACGGTCGAAAAAAATCAGAAATTGAGAACATGAAAATGCGAATGAAAAACAAATTTTAATTTACCCAAAATTTTATTTGTTTTTGGCATGCTTTTAATCAGATCATAAAACTGGTAAGTCATGGATGAAATATGAAAAACTACATATATATAGAATATGTAGACTCCGGGTAATAAATGCAACAAATTCGAATAATACTGTTTCGATAAAAACATGTTTAAAGATAAACTGATTGCCTATTTTAGAAGGCTGTAAATAAAAAAATATTTTAAATATTCATTTAAAAATTTAATATGGCATTTTTAAAGGTGTAAACGAAATATTCAAAAAAAAATTTATTAAAAAAGAAATTGTTTTTCAAACTATTACACTATGTGTACGGTGCACCACTTAACGTTTAACACTATATTAATATTCACTATTACTGATTATTTATTTTAGATAAATTAGAATAAAAAATCGGGACTCGAAATGAAGTGCTCTCAATGAGTAACATAATTACTCTATCAAAATACTCTCCCTTGACACAATTATTGCTCTCTGTTTATATTCATGCATAAGTGCACTGCGGATTCATGCCTCCGCTGGTTTTGAAAATTAATATTATTGTGAGGTGCTCACATACATACATACATATGTACATATCCACACACACATATAATTATATATATATATTTTTTTTTAATACATGTGGACTTTACCCCCAACTGTAAAGTATGCTCAAAAAACTACTTGTACTGCCTACTTGTCGAAACGGCACAAACATAATTTAATAAATCGATACAGTATTATTTACATATAAGTAAAATGAAGGTGCTGAACTATACACTTCTATATATAATATATATTCATATATACGCACGTATAAATACTTATATAGTATGTGTAATGATACCCTTTATGTGCTATTACAACGTGATTGCGTCCATTGACAACGTGAATATTTATTAAGAGAAAAAACAAATATTAAACAAACTCGTTGACTTCGACGGTGATTGTAGCAAACTAGTTAGAAAAGATATTTGTAGCACCCGCTTGTCGGTCTACTTGCCAAATTTTACACTTCGAAAGTCAATCAAACTCCACACAGAACTAGGGCTACTATGACAATAAAATTGACACATTTTCGACATAGAAAAGGTGTTCCTCTTTCTCTGCTAGCCTCAGCTGATATCGCATTGAATACTTTAGCGTTTACGTCTTGTCTTTTATATTCACCATCCCTCTTATGTGCTTGGAACTCTGTTAATCTCGAAAAAATAAAAGTTCAATTGCACCAAATATTATTTAGTTGCGATCTTATTGACTCTGCGGTAGGTAGGTGCGCCATTTTGATATACAATTCGTAAGACCTTTAAATATTTCTATCTCGTTTTATTGTTGTTTTCATTTAAATTTGCGTATTTAGCTCCCTTTTGATCGCTCCTAGCGGGCACGGTATTGTCTCCGCCTTAGATTCATCTAGAGCGTCTGACACGTCTGCTTTTTCGTTGACGAAAATGTTCCTCTGCTGGAGTTTACCTTTGGCGACGACAAGGCTAATAGTGCCGCCTGGCTGACTGTGTATATGGTAGTTCTCTGTACGCCACCATAGATATTCAGTAGAACTCCACAGGCCTTCTCTATGCCCAGTATTTCCGCTTGGAAGATGCTAGCTGAGTTTGCTAGACTGAAAGAGAGAGATATCAAGACATCTTACAACATGAAGCCGAGCGTTATCATGATGGAAAACTATTTTCTCGCTTCTAGTCGCAAATTCCGGGCGTTTTTTTCGATCGCTATAATTTGATGTGTTGTTGTCGATAGTCTTCCCCATTAATGGTCACCCGGTTTTAGCAGCTCATTATACAGCACGCGTTTCTGATCCCAACAAATACAGAGCATTACCTTAGTGTCATGGATACGCTTTGCCGTTGATTTGGCTGGTTGGCCAGGTTTCACATATGATTTTTTACATTTAGGGTAGTTCGATGCAAAATCGACTTCTTTTTATAGCGTTTCAGCAACATTTCTGACATTCTTGTCAACAAAACGTCACCAACCAATGTATTTTTCTGTCAAACTCAGACCAAAAATATAACGGAACGAAACTGTCGTAACCGTTTTCTAAATTGGCTAGTTATGTAAGCACTATTCTTAGACTATACTTTTTAAACGAACAAAAGTTACCGTTAGCATGAGATGGAAAGTGATTCATTAAAAAGATTATTTAATAGAACTTTGAAAAATATAATTTCAAAAATTAATTTCTTGCAAAAATTAAATGATGACAACGTAGCTAGCATTCTCTATAAAAATTTTTTTATATATTGTATTTATAATTAGTGCTCTAGCAATATTCATAGCCCATTCATGCTACATGTGAAAAACTCATGCAACTATGTTTGTGTGTGTGTAGCTACAAGTGGCTGATATGAGGTGTCAAAAGTGTATCATTGCACTCTTAAATCGCAATAAAACGAAACCCCTATGACATGGTAAATGTATGTACATGTATGTATGTGTTTAATCACGAAAATTTGTTTGCATACTAACCATTCATATATACAGTTATGTGTACTAATTTTCTTAATAAATGACGCCAAAGAATTCTCCATTTACGAAGCTTCTTTGAATTAATTCGAAATGGCACACTAAAATTTTTATCAGAGAAAATTAGTGCGACACTCAATTATTGCTAATATATCTGTTTTAATAGGGGATTAGCGTTTTTGAATTCCGATTGGGGCAAAATTGACGAAGTTGTGAAAATTGTTATACCTGTCTAATGAGCGCTACACATCAGATTTTAAAACTTTAGAGCCTTTCAAATGCCGCATAACTTCAAAACTACAGCACCGATCATTTTGAAATTATGAACACTATTTCTATGCACAATTTACGAGGTAACGCTGGATAGTATTTTTTTCATTTTTTTTTTAATATTTTTCATTTTACAATAACAAATTAATCGAGTGTTTTCTTGAAAGTGTTCCCAAAAATCTTTGATGGACACACCACCATTCATGAAAATTTAACAGAATATTCCGTTTTACACGAATTAACCCTACCCCCCCCTAACTAAAAACGTTGAAATGAATAGTCATTGAAACCACAAATCGAACTTTGAACAGGCGTGTAGTCAAAATTTTGATGATTATACTTACCGAATTTCGAGTTGTTGTTACACACATTTTCCGCTGTATGCACAGATAGGCATCGCAATGCATCATTAATTTACGATTAAAATGAACTCGTTTATATTCCAAACGCAGAAATTCTGTGCTCTAATATAATTTCGTCAACCAGCACACAATATACTTGTATTTTATTTTCGGCCAACATGAATTGGCCACGTGTTTTAGACATAACCAACAGTTTCTTGCTGTTTACCGGATTTCAGCTGCACAGCTTTGACTTAAAAACTCAACGGTATCACATTTCCCTGTGGGGACTCGCAAATTTCACAGCGCTGACATTATTCTATGTCATCTGCATTAATCAGCACTTCACGCGCTCACCACTGCTAAAGATTTTCCACGATGTTTCGCCGTTTTTTTGGCAACTAATACGCGCGCATCTATTGCTGGGACTTAAGATTTATATATTTCGCATTTTTACAATGGTCGCAGTGGGTCGTGCTTGCAATGGTATTTCAGGCGTTTGCACACGTGTGTTTGCGCATAAATTCAAATTGAAGGAGGCTTTTGCATACATCTTGGTATTCTCAACGTTCGCAATCTCACTTTGCTTTGGTGCATATATTGCTTATGAAATGGAATTTGAAATGCCACCTTGGGATAATATTTTCGTAAGTTTTGGCCTATTCATTCCGCATTTCGCTGTGGCCGGCGCTTTAAAGCTATACACACTGAATTGCTGTTTATTGCGCGAGGAACTGAGGCAGTTAAAAATGGGACTGCAGGACATGCTTATGGAGCAATTAACAACTGACGTCAAAAGTGTGGAAAACGGCATTGAAATGACAGCAAGTGTCAGCGCCACAAATGTTTGTGTCAAAATGAAAGCGATGAATTTTCAAAAAGAGTTGGCGCAATATCTTAAACGCTTTGAGCAGCTGGCGGCTGAAGTGAAGCTTGTGAGCGTTGCATTAGGCAAAGATATGCTGCTGCTATTGTTAATGAATTGCACCTGTCTGCTTGCCGGTGTTTATTCACTTGTGTACTTTCAAACAAGTTGGCACTTACTCTTCTCTCCCCAGTGGAAGCGTATTTTTTATGCTTCTAATATTGCGATTTACGTGCTCATCTCCTGGGATTATATTTGTTTGTGCACAAGTGTATGGCTTTTCAACAAAGTGGTGTGTGTATAAATGTTTAGAGTTTAGATTTTTTTCTTAATTTTTTTATGCCAACAATTTCAGAAAAACCAAATACTTGATGTCGTTCAAGTAGCTATAAAATCAAAAGCGCGTTTTGAAAAGGCTGCTTATGCTCTCCTAAAGGATATTCGTAACGTATTGACTACAGAGCTGCGGTTGACTTTGTTTAAGCTGGTGGAAATAAACGCGTCGAATTTAATAATGGTACATCATATTAGCAAATAGTTTCAAATATTAAAAATACGTTTCAATAATTAATTTTTTATTTTTAGTTGCACGTCATCGTTGGCATAATAATATCCCTAGTCGTTGTTTATCAATATTTGATTGATCAAATTATTTCAATACATGCTGAGCTGGATACTGTCGACAGCGATGATTAGAATTTAGCTTAACATACAAACAAACCTTGACTGTACATATAGCTCCTTTCTTTGTTAAGATAAGATCAGAACATAATGAATTACAAAACTTCCGGTTCCGTCCAAACTCGTTTATCTATGCATTTCAGCAAAATATTATAGTGATGCCATATCCAATAGTTACACTTCTCAAAATAAGTGAAAATAATTAAGCATAAATATTTCAATGATTTTGTTCAAATATATAAATGTAGATAAATATGCCTTTAAAAATTAGCAGTAATGGTGATCTTAATTAAGTTCAAATATATTAGATACATTGAATATTATAAAAATATATAACTCGTATAATACACATGCAATAACCAATCAAGTCAATATTTGAAATTTTGTTCAGTAAATTATATAAAATATAAAAATATTCTATTGCTATTCTCATAAGTTTCAAAATTATTTTTTTTTTTGTTTTATGTTGAATATAATTTACATTAGCTCCGGCAACACTCATTCATTTATAATTTGGCAGCACTTACAAACTTCAAAATGCCAAATGTCATAAACAACGAGACGCCAAATGAATGGGAAACCATCATAGACGCCGGATATTTAGTTGAAAATTGAATATATAGATTGGAAAAAAGTTAATAAATAGACTAGCGTATCGTAAAATGAGTGCTGGAAATATGTTATATGGTGGCGATGAGATCGGGGCACTTGTATTTGATCCGGGCCATCATTCTTTACGCGTGGGATATGCACAAGAGGATACACCAAAGGCAGAGATTCCGTCTGTGGTAGGGGTGGCGCCTTCAGCACCGGACACAAATATGGACATTGAAACAAAAACTGACAACAACATAACGCAAAATAGTAATTATAGCAAATGCGCTGTGCCTTCAATTAATGTGAAATTATTTATAAATTATTTTCGTTTGCAGATACAGACAATCGCAAGTACTATGTCGATACCACATATGTAAATGTGCCGCGTACTCAAATGGAAATACAAACTTATATGAAAGATGGTATGATCGATAATTGGGATTTGTTTGAAAAAGTAATTGATTACACATATGCCAAAGTCATACAATCGGAACCCGAATACCATCCGGTGCTGTTTTCGGAGGCTTCATGGAATGTGCGTAATAACCGTGAAAAATTGACAGAACTCATGTTCGAAAAGTATAACGTGCCCGCTTTTTATTTGGTTAAAAACGCCGTATTGGCGGCATTTTCGAGTGGTCGAGCAACCGCTTTGGTTGTAGATAGTGGTGCAACACACACCTCGGCAGTGCCTGTGCACGAAGGATACGTGCTTTCTCAGGCGGTTGTAAAATCTCCGCTCGGCGGTGATTATCTATCAATGCAATGTCGCCAACATCTCGAAAAACAGAGTATAGATTTATCGCCGGCATATAAAATTGCTTCGAAAGATGTGGTTAAAGAACGAGATAATGCGCGATTCACGCTGCGTAAATTACCCGAAAACTTAACACAGTCTTGGCAAAATTATATGCTCAAATCATTGCTACAAGATTTTCAAATGAATATATTACAAGTATTAGAAAATCCTTACGATGAAAGGGTGGCTGCACAAATACCCAGTGTTCATTATGAATTTCCCAATGGCTACCATCAGGAGTTCGGTTCAGAACGTTTTAAATTGGCGGAAAGTTTATTTGACCATGCGATGCTCGGTGCAGGCCAATTGGCATCTACAAGTGTTGGTATGTGTGACGCAGATGTGCGTTTATCGCTCTTCGGCTCAGTTGTTGTAACGGGTGGCAACACACTTTTACAAGGATTTCCTGAGCGTCTAAATCGCGACTTGCAGCTACGTGCGCCCTCCAACACCCGTTTGAAAATGATTTCAGCAAATGGTAGTGTGGAACGACGTTTTGGTGCTTGGATCGGTGGTTCGATTTTGGCCAGTATTGGCACATTCCAGCAAATGTGGATATCTTCACAAGAGTACGAAGAGTCCGGCAAAGGTCAGGTGGAGCGGAAATGTCCCTAAACATATTGTGTGTATATGATTTAGATATTGACTCAACTATGTACTAATTTAAATTCGAAGATTAATAATAATTATGATATAAACTAAATATGGATACTTACAATTAAATATTTTTTCATTTCCATTATGCCAAAATTTAACAAAATTTGGTTTTATCTGCTTTATTTGTGTATTTTTTACAGTACTTATAAAAAGTTAGCTTACTTTAAAAATTTGGATGCTATAAAATTCTATTAAATTTCGAAACAACGAAAATTTATATTATAATGTTGGAGTTACTTTTAAAGTTATCTCTAAAATCTATTTAATAGTCTAGTAGTTACTTTAAAGCCTGATTATTATTTTTAACCAAATCTTTTGCCTTCTGTATTTCTTCTGTCCAATTCTGTTGCGCAATCATTTTCACCGCTTCTTTCATTATATTCTTCACCTTATCGACGTTAGCAGCAAAAGTGTCCACTACTTGTTTAACATTGACGGCATCTTGTCCTTCACGCCAGCTATCGTAATCAGTAGCGATTGCAACACCGGCATACAGCAGGGAGGCCTCTTTGGCCAGAACCACCTCGGGAACGATAGTCATGTTAATTAAATCGCCACCCCACATTCCGAACATTTTACTTTCGGCCTTTGACGAGTAGCGTGGACCTTCGATACACACGACTGTACCGCGGTCATGGGCGATATAATTTAGTTTCTTTGTTGCCGCTAATAAAATTTGTCGTGTGGGTTCATTGAACAAGGGAGACATGGGTAAATGACATACGCCAGGTGGACTTCCAGGCTGACCATCAGTAAAAGTTTCAACCCGTTGTGTTGTGCGGTCAATAATGTCATCTGGTATGACCAAATCACCTCGCATGAAATCCTCACGTAGCGAACCACATGCCGAAGACACTAATACATGGGTACAGCCCGCTTCTTTGAGTGCCCAAATGTTCGCACGATATGGAACATTAGTTGGCATAATGTTATGCTTCCTGCCGTGTCGGGCTAGCAACACACATTGGACACCATTTATTGTACCTTCGATTAGAACATCAGCAGGCGGGCCATAAGGAGTAGTAACTGTTTTTTCCTTTCTTCCTTCTAATATATCTGGATCGTCTAGACCGCTGCCGCCAATTATGCCAATCTAAACATTTTGCTTGTTCAATTAATTTTGTTTTAAATAACGCTTGAATCTTACTTTGACCATGCAACCACAAATTCCTGCCTCAGCAGGCTCCTTTTTGGGCGCAGGTTTCGCTTCCCTTTCGCAGCACGCCATGGTTTTCTTAGTTGACTAATTTCGATAAGGGAAATGATTTTGGGCGCATACAAGAATTGCAGAATAATATTATTTAATTTTTATTTAATGACTTTTCAAAATTTAATTTTCCATCTAAAATTTTTTTAAAGCAAATGATTTACTAAGACATTTTCTACAACAGAATATATGATTTCACAGAAACAAGTGTTATATAAAAAGGTGTACAAAGTAAATGTTACGGATTGCATACAATATTCCTCATAAATCATGCACATTTTTTTAAATAAACTGGTGTTAACTTTATTTTAAAACATTTGAAATACAATTTATGAGGCATGAACACATGCGCACATATTGAGGAGTAAATGCTGTATGTGCAGTAGTTTATAACTAAAATAGGGTATCGTAAAATATAATAGGTAAGGTTAGGTTAGTTTTGTAGGCTAATACGGTAAAATATAATAAGTTGCCATTATTTGGAAATTATGCTGATTGCTCCGCATTCTGATTGGGATGTGTTTTCCTTTGCTTTTTATGATTCTCTTGAACGTTGTGTTCTTTTGATGCTGGAACTAAGTCGTAGACTATAGAAATTGAATTCAATTTAGGAAGCAAGTTCATTGTGTTGTTTGGGTCGTTGAATTTTGAAGCGGAGATTTGTGGGCGACGACGTTGTATGAATTCACCAGTAAATTCTTGACATAATAGTAAAAAGCGTCACATTGCACCGGACATTGTGTTCTTGCAAACGCATTCCTATTTAAAATACATTGAATGTTGTATAATACATACATATTTACATGGTTAATACAATATAAATAGTACCTTAGCATCCAAAATATCTTCGGTCCAATCTTCTTTGGCTATATTCTGTACGGCCTTTATTAGTATATGCTTTACCTTGACAACATTGGCGGAAAAGGTCTTTAATACATCTTGCACATTAACACCTTCGCAACCCATGCGCCAGCAGTCGTAATCGGTTGCAATCGCCACGGAACCATATAATAGTCCAGCTTCTTTGGCCAATACAACTTCGGGACAAGTGGTCATATTAATAAGATCACCACCCCATTGGCGGAACATGTTACTTTCAGAACGTGAAGAGAAACGTGGTCCTTCAATTGTTACAATGGTTGCCTTTTCATGTACGTTGTAATCCAATTCTTTAGCAGTGGCAACTAGCATCGAGCGTACACGTTCACTGAAACATGGAAACATACTTAAATGACAAACACCACGCGGACTTTCCGCCCCGCCATCGTAAAAGGTTTGTACACGTTTCGTGGTGCGATCGATGAAGTCATTTGGTACTACCAAATCGCCTGGATGGATTTCTTCCCGCAGTGATCCGCACGCGGTTGATACAATTAAATGTGTGCAGCCAACTTGACGCATGGCCCAAATGTTGGCACGATAATTCACGTTAGTTGGCATAATGTTATGTTTGCGACCATGACGTGCCAAGAGTACACAGTTTACACCGCCAATCTCACCTTCGATCAAGACATCAGAAGGGTTGCCGAATGGTGTCTTGACTTCGGTCTCTTTGCGATTTTCTAAAATATCCGGATCATCGAGACCGCTACCACCAATTATACCAATCTAAGAAATTATTTGTAAGTATATCTTTGCAATCACAGCAAAATTAAAATCACTAAGAATCTTAGTAGAAATAATTCCAAATTACCTTAACGGTTATTGGTTCTAGGTCAGTGTCCTTGCATTTAATATGTATCATTGTGTTGACTTCCAAATTGTATTACTCACAGTGACCAAAACGAGAAAGAGTCTGCGGAAAATGTAATTCAATAAATATACGAATGTATTTCTGCTCTATATACACATGTCGCAATTGTCGCGGTTAAGGTCAGCAGTATGATAAGCCTACAGATAGAAAAAAACTATTGTTGTGAAGGGTTGTATATATAATACCAACACATTTTTGACAAGCCAATCAGAGGCGCATCCCATAAAATGCGCGCACGTTATAATTATTAAGAAGTGCAGCTATAGGGGCAACAAATCACTTAAGTTAAAAATAATATATGTATGTAGTATAAAAAAAAATCTTACATAAAAAATTTAAAACATAATTCTGCGTTAAAATTTTAATCGGAAATTTAACTATCGATTTACTAATTTATTGACTTATGTACATCTTTATGGAGGCTGTCATCATTTATATTTCATCTTTTAAAAAATTTCAACGGCTATTAAGAAAACATATGTAGGTATGTATGTATGTAAGTTAAAATTCTTTACTCCAGAAAATGAAATCAGCCCAATAAAAGTCAATCAAAAACATATCCTTTCTCCATAAACATTATTTAAATTGACAATTATTGTTCGTTTTTTTCCGAGGTTCCGTTATTTTTGGACAATTTTTTGCTCGGTTTTTATTTACTCCAACAAAACGAATGGCGAAAAACACCAGAAGTTGTAAAATTAAGAAATAAATGGTTAAACTTTTGCAATCAAAGTAAGAAAATCAGATTAGCGTGTGTATGTTCTAAACGTTTTAAACCAAAACAGATCTTATGTAATAAAAAAGGAATAATTGGTAAGTTATTTGAATCTAGAAATATTACTTGAATTTTAAAAGTTTTTAATTTCTTTAAAGTCGGTTTAAATGTAAATTTTGTGGCATCAAAAGAATTTTTAGAAAAAATTAAAACAGCAGCAAGTTTATTATTTATGCATATAAATAAAGTTAGTGATCCCACAATGGCTCCAAATATTGCCCATACCTCGGGGTACATGCAGAAATGTGGAGAACACAATGAAGTCTTACAATATGTTTGTGAAAATTGCAGAATGCTACTTTGTGATATTTGCGTATCTCAAAGCCATACTGCACACAATTGTGTTCAAATTGACAATTTCCTAACCCATAGGAATGATCTACTGTTTCGACTCATAGAATGCGGCAGATTGGCTACTAACTGTTATGAAGATATTGGCTATAAAGAAGTGGATTGTGCGCGTAATATTGATAACAATTGCAATTTATTAGCAAAAAGCATTAGGAATATGTTTCGACCGCTTATAGCGTCTTTGCAGCAACGGGAAAGTTGCCTTTTGGATATTGTAAATAAAATGCATAAAAATCGAATGGAAAATATGTATGAACAAATTTCTGCATTAAAGGTTTCATATTTGGGCTTAATGAATGCAACTAAAAAATTAAATAAAATAGCTAAAAATGCACATCAGTTAGAAAATCTGTACACTGTTACGCAAATATTAGAGGCACAGCGGCAAGTGGATATTTATTCACAACTTTTTGGAGAAAAACAATATAAAGAAGAATTTTATAAGTTTTATGCACCTCAAGTACCCAACGACATTTTGAGGGATATAGAAAACCTAGGATTCATCGAACTAGATGACAATAATGAACTCACTGCTTTATACAATATTCCAACTACATTAGAAGATGCTAACGAAAAGAATACACTATTTTCGTCATCACAAGAAATTTCCAGCGGAGAAGTGGAACTTATTGTAGAAATAGATACATGTAAAAAAACTAAAACCCCAAAAAATGAAATTGCCAGAAATGTTGGTATTGGACAAGCAGTACCTGGTTGTTTGAATAAAGTCAAAGCTTTCCGTTCGGATTTACCGGCTTTGGCATTTGCGCCTAAAGGAAATTGTGAAGGTCATGTTCAACGACCTTGGGGAGTTTGTGTCAATAAATTAGGGCACATTTTAATTACCGATAGACTTAATCATAATGTACAAGTTTTTGGTGCAAATGGCGAATTTTTATTTAGCTTTGGCCTAAAAGGAAAGAGTGGTGGACAGTTTAATGCGCCTGCCGGAATCTGTGTGGACAAAAGTGGTCGCATTATTGTTGCGGATAAAAATAACCATCGAATACAAGTATTTTCGTCAGGTGGAAAATATTTACTGTCATTTGGACGTTTGGGCACAAAATGTGGGGAATTCAAATTCCCATTCGATGTTACTGTTAATACAAAATTACAAATTGCAGTAACTGATTCAGCAAATCATCGCATTCAACAATTCGAACACAATGGACATTTCATTCGTGAAATACCGTTAGGCATTTGCACATTCACTGGTTATGAAATAACGCCGCGTGGCATATGCTATACGCCCAAGGGTAACATAATTATAACAGATTATGTAAATCATTGTTTACATCTTATTAGTCCTGCGAAGGAAAAAGTAAATAGAAAATTCCTGCAGTTTCGTATTCATACAAATCAATATATTTCTAATGAGATGAAATTACAGATTATAACTACTAAAGGCAATCTCGGATTTGGATATTTACAATTTTCTCGTCCCTCTGGTGTGTGCTGTGATGATGATGGAACAATAATAGTTGCAGATTGCCATAACCATCGAATCTGTGTTTTCAGTTCGACTTTGGAAAGTTTATGGAACGTAAGTAAAACAAAAACAAGAAAACATATTAACATCGATTGCACCGAAGGTATAATACCCTTAACAGGTGCTTTTTTTTATAATCTAAAAGGGTATAAAAATATCTTTAAATTGATTTTGATTGGTCAGCTTGTATGGCAACTATATGCAATTGTAGCGTTGCCTTAGAAAATAATCCATGCCATATTCTGTGACGATATCTGGTCAAATAAATTAAATTTTTATCGATTGTTGTTGTTGTAGTGGCAGAAACCATTCTTAAAATAAATTTGAAGAATACTGCCGAGTTGACAGTCCTTGGCCGGATAAAAATCCGGGTTCGTTCCGGTTACGTAGACCCGACTGTCCTGGGAACGGATGCAGTGGGATTTTGATCGGTCAATTTGTATGGCAGCAATATGCAATAGTCTGGCAATCTGAACAATTTCTTTGGCTATTATACCGATGCTCAATTAATTTTTGAATATTACTCTTTTTTTATTTACATTATATATTTAAATTTATTTTTATTTTAGATTGACATACGCCCATCAGTCAACTGCTTAAGCAATACTTATTGTGATGAAACTGATCGCACTTGCGATGTCGCACTGACGAAGGATGGTCACATCGTATTTGTTTCGGAAATGTTGCCTGCACATGAATCTATTCACACAACCAAGAGATTCGTACACGTTTATTAAATTTCGCATCTGATGTTTCTATATACATATCAACTTATTTTCGTAATTTACTGACATTAAAAAGATATTAATTAAATCAATAAAAAATTGTTTGTTTTTGTATTCATTATTTTCGATATTAATATATACAGTTATATTTAATATATTCACGCTTCTTTGTTCTTAAATGAATGCGGGCATTTAAATATTCTAACGAAATGATCGTCCCCACAACTGGCTAGTAGAAAATGGTCGGACGTGCACTTATAACCATCACGCAATGGCTGAAACTGCAAACGCTTCACTGCAGAGTCATGCGCCTTTTCAAAAGTAATTTTGCTGCAAATTCGAAATAGAAATATTGAAGTTATGCATGGGCATAGAATAACTCAAATTAATTTTTTCAACCAACACTTACCTCTCGTCAACGGCTTTTAACTGTTTTTCATTTTCTACCAACTGTTGCAGCGCTATATCACCATTCGAAAAACCTATGGCAATCTGATATAACCCAGACTTTACCAGTTTCGGTGCAAAAGCAAGTGCAGTCACGGGATTTTCATATGTTTCCTTGAGCCCTATGTCCCATTTATCACCATTAACTTGTGCCCACACACCTAGTACGGCATCACGACCACCAGTCAAAAAATATTTTCCATCATGCGACCAATCACATGTCCAAATAATACGATTATGCACCGACATTTTAGCTGCCGATTTTTGTTTGAGCCGATAAGTTGGTAGATTATTGGTGGTGGTTACATCTTCATCACGTTCAAAAAGTGCCCATGTGCGATCACGTGAGACAGAGAGCAATAGCCTACTATTTGGTGAGAAGCGCATCTGAGTTACTGTAAGTTTATGCGCGGCAAGTTTTCCAATTTGCTTCCAAGTTGTGGTGTCCCTGTAAGATAATTTGGTGAAGAAATGTTATACATATGCATATTTTATTAGAAAATAACGTCTTACCAAAGTATTATCTGCGCATGCTCCTCGTTTGTGGCTCGACATGCGGAAGCCAGCACTTTGCCGTCTGGTGAAGCGGTGAGTGCATAAATATCGAAGCCATGACCGTAAAGTTTTTGCATTTCCGGCCAAAGCGTATTTTGCATAAGTGTCTCTTCTTGTGGCGGCGAGTCAAGCGTAACCGGTATAAAATAATTTTCAGGGTATTCGTCCTTAATGTGCTTTTCCTTTGGCACCGAGTCTATGTCAGCACTGTACACTGCCTTATTTGATAGACCCAGTGAAGGTACAGAAGCGCCCTTGGGTAAAGCTATGAAATAAATTTATGATTGAGCACACTTGTTTGGATATTAGAATTGAAAGCCAGGAAACATACTTTGTAATAAATCTTCACCCTCAGCATCATCTTGAGCACCGGTAATGCGTCTGAAGTTTTCAATGTAATTGGCCGACGCCTGGAATGTGCGCACAATTTTCTCTTCGGCTCCACTGGCAAACTTGTAACGTGATAGTATTGCAATAGTCTGCATATCATAGCCGTGCACCTGTGGACGTGCTAATTCATGCCAAGTCACCATGTCATCGCTTTCGTCATTGGAACGTCGCCATGGTGCATGTATGCGTGTAGTCTGATCGGCCGACACACTCAATAAGTATTCCCCATTTGGCGCCCAAGCCAAATCACGTACTTCATCGAAATGTCCACCTATTATGACACCGGGTGACCAAAGGTTTTCATTATCCACCGTTTGATGCCAAATATGGAAGCCACCCTGATAGCTGTGTCCAAATATGGATTT